CCGTCCGTCCGTCTGTCTGTACATCCGTCTAGCTGTACGTCCCTCCATCCGTCTGTTAGGCTTTTGGGTCCCTATCTCTAATTTTCCGCAACTCCTCTAATACCACTGGTGAAAATTTAATGAAACTTTCACAGAATCTTTATTACATATTGTATTGTGCACCTCCTATTTATACCACCTGCTTGAAAAGTGGGAGGGTATATTGTAATCGTTATGTCCGTCCGTCTGTCTGTTCAGCTTTGGGGTACTCATTTTCTTATACACAACTCCTCTTATACCACTGAGTGAAATTTAATGAAAATTTCATAGAAGCTTTATTACATATTGCCATTGTGCACTTCCTATTTTACTTTTTGATCCGACACATATTTTGGGTTTCCCGGCTAGCAAAACATTGGCTTTGCCATTATAATGGGGTTTATCCAATATGGATAAACCTGGTTATTTCGTGCAGCTTAATATTTTACATGCAAAGATAGATAACTCTTAGTTTCTTAACATTGAACGTCATAAATCATCGGGCTCGGTGCATAAAAAATTCTTGATATTTCCTGTATGCGCATGTCTTCTGGAATATTCCTTTTGAATCTGTAAATTGAACGTAGCAGACGCAAAGATTTTTTAAAAGAATTAATCGATCATCATCTGCTGATTTATTGTCAAATACAAGTAAATATGTTACGTGTATCAAGAGCTTCGAAGGCCAGGAAACCTTATTCCAGAGAAATCACAAGAAGTTCCGTATCCAGACCTAAAACATAGAGAAGGCCTAGCTGTAGCAACTCATGCAGTTCTGAACATGATGTCGCCATTGTCGAGCAGGCACCTGACTCAGAGTCACTGTAACTTCCTTAGTTTACCTGTTACCTGCTATTCCAGCTCAACATAATCGAGGTACAGTTTAATTTGACCCAAATCCTTTTATTAATTATCATATTTTTAATTTTTTTTTAAATTTCCATACAATGCAACATTCAAATGACGTCATACTTGTTATCAAGGGGAACCCTAAGGCTATGCATGTTTTTCACAAAATAATGAAAATATGACCCCTTTTTCCACCATTGCCATTTGCCAAAACCAATATCGAGTGATTTGTGTATTTCTGCACATTTGTGAATTTGCCTAAATCTAATACACGCGTATCCGTCGTGGTTTTAAACCAGAATTACAAACTTGCTTTAAAAAAAAACAAGACCCTGCGTAAATAGTCTATAAACTATCCATTCATCCACTAGTCACCTTCACATAGTAATAATTTGGGATTTCCATCGCTTTTTATGTTTTCTACGGTGATCTAGTAATGCCATTTTTATATAATTTTCAATAAAAAAAAAAATCGTCCCATTACATGTACATAAACATTTAATTTCTTTAATATATAAATGTACATAGAATTAATTTTTAAAAAATTGAATTAATCGAATAATTAAACGTTTAACAATAATTTCATTTCTAAACGACTCCTAAAATAATTAAATAAATAAAATTAAGGTATTCTAGACTTATTGATTTGTAATTAATATTATTTCTTTTTCTTGGGAATTTTAATTGTAGGACACGTCACACCATTTCCTAGTCGTGTAGGGCAGGAATAATCTATAAAATTAATGCACTTCAGTTTTATTTAGATAGTTCAATGGTTACGGTGTGGTGTTTAGTAAACATTGGTGTTGCCCAAATTGACCGGTTGACTGGCCTGAGGAGTAATACAGGGATATCGCCTTCCTAGAAATTGTATCTGTTGTACTATTGGGATTATGATCTGGGCTGAAAGTTTAAATTAGATTTAAAATAAATAAATAAATAGAAAAAAAAAACTTTATATTGACAATTTTTTCTTTGGTTTATAGCAATTTAATCACAAATCATCCAAAAACAAAAGAATTATGGCATTAGTCAGGATGTTAGTTAGGCAGATTTTTTAAGTTTAATGTACATTTAAAAGCTCAACACATACAAGGTATATTATAAAATAATGATAATAAATAAATTCCATATACTATTTCTCAGTTTATGTGGACAGGTTTCATTACAGTACCTTCTCCCTCCATGTACATGTACCTAATATTCAGTTTTGCAGAACTATTTAGGAGCCAGCTGTAGCCAGTCTCCTTCAAACTGATGTATCTCAAAATACAGAAAGCAAAAGTCTTTTTTCAATTTCAGGCAACAGGTATCATTTCAGCAGATCTGGTCCCCTCCTTTAATCATATGATTAATTTTATAGTATATATATGTCAGAGAGTATTATGGCTTTTCTACTTATGTTATTTATCAGGAATCAGTTTTGTCATCAACTTGCATGGTTGGCAGAATCCAATCCGATTCATTTATTATTAATAAGTTATGGTTTTGTTACAAGAGATGTAACTAATGCGTCTCAGGATATAAGAAAACTATTATATTACCTATATTGGATAACATTGTCAGTGTTTTGCCAGATTTGTGTTCTGATTTTGAAGCGGCTTTATTTAAGTCTGCTTTTACATGATTTTGAAGTGGCTTTATTTAAGTCTGCTTTTACGTAATTTTGAAGCTGCTTTATTTAACTTTGCTTTTACATGATTTTGAAGCGGCTTTATTTAAGTCTGCTTTTACATGAGCTTTCTTTGCATTGCTAAAAGTGAGTAAAATAGTGGCTTTGGGTATCAAGCATATAATTGTCTCTTGTGATACCATTCAAGTTTTTTGTTACAACACTTTAGACTGGCCAAACTGGTTCGGGAACATGTTTGCATTTTGAAAAATATAACAATGTGATTGTTTCAATCTTTGCAGAATTTTGCTGTAGTATGTACAAATATTGAAAGGGCGTCTCAATTTTCACATTTAAACTCAAAACCCTTATCCCAATATCAGTTTCCGTCCATCTTAAGGTATTCAATGTATAATGAAGGGATTTTCGACGATTTTAGATAAAGATAAAAGTGAAATGAACCAAAATTCGCAAGACTAATAACATGTACAGAGACGGTCATTTTGCACATTGAAAGTTTCTAAGAGTTACCTTGCCTTGAATGGAAAAAAAAATTAATTTATCTAAATTTCTTCGGTATAAAGTTCACTTTATATCATATTTTAATAAACAAACAAACGCATATTTTCATCAAGAGATAATACTCGAATTAGTTTGAAATTCAGACTACTTCTTAAAATATCTTACAAACTCATATGCGCTGTCCATAGACTTTAATATTAAAATCCAGGTGCAATTAATTGGTTAGTAATCAACATGTAAATTCCTTGTTGGAACATTTTTGTTTGACAACATCTTCAAATTATGACTAAAATATTGCCGACTTGGCGTAGAACAATAATAATCAATCAAAATATTTTGCTACCATGATTTAAAATATCGGACTATTCATTTCTTAGGTACAAAATATGGTCGTTATACATTGTATAAACTTTAAACAAAGCTTTGCAGTTTTTGAATATTCAGTCAACTGAAGTTGAGACGTACTGATTTTTAGCCGGGCTTATTGCTCAAAGAGCAATAGCCGGCTTATGGGATCCTGTTCAACTTCCTGTTCAAGGCAGGATGTTGACCCAATAGTCGCCAAATTAAACTGACGTTCTGAAATATAGTGTATCTACTTGTAATCGCTGTTGAAACAATTTATACTCATAATCTGATTAATTAAATGTGAATATAAACTGTACTGTAATTATTATTGTGCAGTTATCAAAAATACATTTGTTCTTAGTAGAGAACTTTTAACAAATTCCTACGCATAGCCTGGTTCCCTGTCCCTGTTTTGCTTCGTTTAATTTACTCTGCGTCACTGCCTCGGCAATGGTGAGACAGGGTACCAGGCTAAATTTTCCACTCATTCGGCAAACCTAATCAGCCGAGGAGTCCCTAATGATGCAGGTGTTAGGCCTACACAGTGCCCCCTAGACATCGCCCGATTTCGTTTCTGGAGATAAACAAAGAAGACGCCATATTACACAAGGTATTAGGTATACGCGATTGCGGTATGGCGTTCTCCATGGTCAAATTATACAGCTGGTACAACGAAACTTATGCGGAAATCGGAGACTGCCGTACAATCTGACCACGTTTTAAAGTTTGTGTATGACAAAGATGCGCAGTTTATAAGGGGAATTGTGTAAGCCTCCATGCGAGACCGGAGCTACAGGTTACTGTAAGTTCATCCCATTTCTTTGAGATTTTTGGAAGAAAGAAAAGTTTTTCTTTAAGTCTTTGCCTTACCAATGACCAAATAAATGGTTGACTACAGTATCTGAAGAAATTTTAAGGAGTTAAATGAATGTCATACAGACCTCTGCCTATGGCTGCTAAATCAAAGCTTTACAGTTTTATGTGAACAGGTGAAGAATTAAAAATATAGGCTATATAGGAGTATGTAAAGAAATGTTGTAACTGTAAATGGAAGTAACTTTTCTCTATTTTGTTCAGTTATAAAGTATGAATTTAGACCCTCCAGCCCCTGCATGGGTTTTAGTTTCAAATTTTTATAGCCATAAAATGACTTGGATTTGTAAAAGGGGTTTTTGAAGAAAAGTAGCTTGCACCCCCATCTTCAATAGAACTCCATTTTTCATAATATTTATTTTTTTTTATCTCTTGAAGAAAAAAAATGTAGAGAAAGTTATTGAGTATATTGTTTCTCCAAGGATGAATCCAGGATATGTCTTTGTACTCTCATGTCATCCAGAACTTGTGAATTTTTTCCTCATTTTCCCATTTATATATATTTTTATTTTAAAAAATTAAATAAGACACTTTCACCTTGTTATGTTATTTTAAAAAGTTGTCCATATAATTTTGAAGCGATATGAGCAAAAATAAATCGATAAAAATAACCTATTGCAGATTTATTAAGAACAGGTGCATGTGGTGGATTTTGATCCGCTCCCGTATAAAACAAAAATGGCGTCGTACAACAGACGCTTCATACTCGTCATAATTTTCGTTAAATCATGCAAGTAGAAAAATTACCATGGATAATTTCGTTTAGTATCATTGCATGCAGGAGAATATTCATTTGATTTGCACCAAAACATGACTGATTCTGTCAGGAAAATGGAAAGCTAGCTGAAAATTCTATGGCATGTCCTGTCGCACGACTGCTTTTTTGTGCGTTTTCAAAGACTTTATATATTAATGGTGAGTTTATTAATTCTAAACAACCTTTTCTTTCTCTGAGACGATTTGGGGTTTGGAAAAATTGTGTAATTTATGTATTTTGCAAAAAATTTACAAATAAATACCGTTTGACAGATTTTTAAACGTAAAAACGAAAATCGGCAATAATGGGTACTCAGCAATAATGGGTGTACTCGCACGTTATATGTTTTATCCTGCCTATGCAATAAATCCAGAACAAACCTCTTTCCGAATTTCTTTGACTGAAAGTGTCTATGCAATGTCTTAATACATAATAATAAATTAATATACAATTTTTTTTCTCTGTCCACAATTTTCAAGTTTCCATGTAAACATGCTTTTTACTTTTAAAATTGATAGTATCAGATAATATAAGTAAAATTCTAGGTGGTTATTTTTTTTTAATTTTTATTATTAGATTACTCTTGGTTCTAACTACATAGTTGAACAGAGTACCTGTGAATGTGTAAATGGGATGGACAAATGTCACCATAAAGCCAGCATTCTTCTCTATGGGTAATTTATATGCAATTTATGTAATATGTAAATTCACTTGGTCTGTTTTAGGTATGCTTTACCAAATTTAATGTTAAATAGAAATTATATCAAAACATGCACACCAATATATATATACCCGGTATATACAAGTGTGCAGTTCACCATGTGACTGTACAATGTAGGTAGCAGGGTACTATTCGTGCCCTGGAACCTCCAAGTCCACTACCTTGGCATATATAAGCATACTTTTACTATAAAATCTAACTTTAGGCCCCAAGACTATAATATAATTTAGTAAATTTATGGAACATGTTGATACAGGTACAAAAATGTCAGCAAAACTGATGTACGCCAGAGTTGGATTACGCATCCAGAGTGCGCCACCTCGTCAAACTAAGACGATGGAAGAACTTTTTCCTGCACCTGACAGGTTTATAAATTACAGGTATGCATTTATTATGACTGTTTCATGAATGGTGCAAAATATTAAAAAATGACAGTACCCCAAAAGTGAAAATATAAAAAATAGAGAAATAGCATATTTTTTATGGGCAATATACACTTTTTTCAATGGATGGAACTGTATCTCTCTGGTCGTCCATCCTAATTTTTTCAGACCAGCAAGCTACAGATCTGCAGCTAGCATGGTATATGTAAAACCATTCAGTGTTGTATTATGCTCCATTTTTCAACTTTTGTCAAAAATTACTAGGGCAACAAATAGGCCAGTCAATGATAGGGACAGGGAGTTCCTATATCAGAAATTGACAACTGTAGGGAGATTTTCAGGTTAATATATCTGGTGTTTTATTTTAGTGTCACATTGTTTACGAGTTTATTTTATTGTTACTTTTTTGAAAATTTATACTGTGATAGGATAGAATGCATATACACACATGTATATATATATATATATATATATATATATACAGTGAAATATCAGTATCTCGAGGTTGAGGGGACCTGGACATGACTTCGAGATATCCGGGGGTTCGAGATATCTTCCAAAGTCGAATCAATAATTTTCCGTTTTTTCTTATGCATCTTCATGCATAAAAATATCCTGTATTACCAAAGATGTAGTCTTTACGGTAAAGATTCAAGCATATTCGCAATAAATATTGAGAAAAACAATGTTAGTGTTTTCTTCATCGTGTATAATTGTAAAACAATTTAATATACATGCCTTATTGCATATACAGCGATTTTACATTTTCCAGGCCATGCTTACGTGGTCAAACGGGATGTAACAATAGCGTTATAGTTGAAGAACCTTCTCCGTAAGCAAAGAAAACGACGAATTTTTGAAACTTTATTTGATGAAATTTAGAGCAAAATGTTATTTAGAGCACAAAAAAAAATCAGTATTTAAACTGTAAACTTGAATACTATTAATAGCTTACATGTATAACATTACGAAGTAATACTAAAGAACATATAGCTTACGAAAATAACAATGCAAATGGCGGTCAAGGTTATCTATTTATACGCAGATTAACATGGATGTAATCAATCACTGCACTGTGCATTACGCACTGCAACTTTTAACTGTTTAAGTTTATATTGAAAAATATTTTGTGTTTTACATGTTTTATGAATTTACGATTTTAATTATACAGATTAAATGCAATATCGGTAATACTGACTGTATTTAATTTCTGAAGTGCTGCGAGAGGTTTTATCGGTCGTAGACTACACCAACACCCAAGCTGTCATACCAATTACCCTGTCACAGATACCCAACATGAGCTTGGGATTAATTAAGATTCCCTCGATTTGGAGGTGTTAATTAATAGCCACTGGCGAGAAAGTGTGAATTCACGACGCCAGGTGTGTTCAGTAGACCGAAAAATTCACTGCACTTCGAGATAAGCCAGGTAAAAGTAGGGCTTTGGACTTTAAATATACTTCGACATAAGCGGGGTATTCGAGATTACCATGTTCGAGATATCAGGTGTTTTTAAATCATATATATAGAGAATACGGCCGGGACCGGCGATTGACTTCGACATAAGCGGGGTATTCGAGATATCCCATATTCGAGATACTGATATTTGCCTGTATATATATATATAAATTCACAAAACACCTAACTAACTCATTACACCCGGACTTTGGACTTCAGATATTTAATGGCTTATTTGACATTGGACTGAAATTCTGACAAGATGTGCAGTCTTTCCATTCTTTTTGCTTTTTTTGTCTTTTACATGTTTAGTTTTGTTCTTGTCTCTTTTGTTTTTGTGTTGACTTTGTTTTAAACTTTTAATTATACATTTTATATACTAGTACTATCAATTTCAATTCAGTGTGAAGTTTTGCATCAAGTCACAATCTTTTTTGACAGATGCATTCAGCGTAAACAATTCATGTGATTGATAAACTCATATTATCAACCTTGACACAGAAATAGTTTGTTGTACAAGCAAACAATCAGGGATTAGAAGAAAGTTCCAGTCGTAAAGCTTGCGGTTAGGAGGCGTATACTATTTACCTTGAACGCATCTGTCAAACTAGAAGATCGTGACGTAATATAAAATTTCAACTCAACTCAGCAGCAACCTTTAGTAAAATGTTTAAATATTATTCACCCTATTTCTCATACATACTTAAAGGAAGTTATTTGTACATTCTTTTCACATGTATACATATTGAAATCCAAAATTTATTTGAAGTAGTAAATAAAATAAGTTTGAAAAAATATTTAACATATATACCAGTATTAAGAATTGGTGATGTAACTGCAATACAGGTTTATTGAGTATTTGTTGTCTTTTTCACTGAGGGTTTAATTTTTTTGTTTAATTAAATCAACAGCAATGCATTGGATACTATCCCCCGAGCCGCCTGTGCCCACACTTGCAGTGCCTCTAGTTGAAGACCTCATCTCTAGCCAGGAATTTATTTCTGCAGAGAATCCAATCGCTTGAGTGAAGCAAAAATTAATGATAAATGAGCAAGAAATCCAACAGGTAAAGACAAATGAGTTGCATAATGAATAGAATGTATTCTGTTTCATTATGAATGTTGTTTAAGTTTTAAGATTTTTGTCATGTTTTAGATTGCCTGTCTTACCACTGGTCAAAAGGAAAATTGCATGTGGTCATCTGTTAGGAAGAATAGATTAACAGCTTCAAACTTTGGTTGTGTTTTGGCAGCGATCAAGAGAAATAGGTATACTGGTAGTTTACATGCCTTTATATGTATATGTAATTATAAATGATACTTGTAAAAGCAGTTAATTATAAAATCAACAAGCTAATTCAGAGAATTCGTGTCCCCGCTTAGGGAAAAAGTCGGCTCCCCTGACTGAATTTGTAGAATTATTAAATGTATACATGTATACTGAAGCAAATAAAATACATGTATGTCAATATGCATATAAAGATTTAAAAAAAAAAAAAAAAAAAAAAAAAAAAAAAGAAAAGGTTCGACCGAGAATCGATCCCGGGACCTCTCACATTTGAGGCGAGAGACATAACCACTAGACCACGGAATCGCTTTATGTATTGTGAAGTATATGCTGAAGTGAAGTCACATACATGTATATATTCATGTTTTCATGTTCGGTATTCTCAAAATTTTACACAATCCATGGTGTCTGATTTATTTAGCCTTTATTAAACAGTTCTAATAGATGTAATAAGAACTTAAAGTCCGCCGAGAACCTGTTTTATACGCAATAACTCTCCTCATGCCCCTGCGCTAAAAATAGCGACATGTAATACTATAAATACTAATAAAACAAACGGGGCGGGGCACTTTGAGAGGGGCGAGAGACGTCCTAGGGAGTTTTGATGTAAAATTACATTGCATAAGCTCAAAATCTTCTTGAAATATCGCCCGGAAATAATAGTATTACACACAGACAGAATGTATAAATTTACGACCTTGAACTTTGACCTTTTGACCTCAAAATCAATAGGGGTCTTTATTAGGCCACAGGGAGTTGTTATATAAAATTTCATTGCAATAGCTCAAAGGGTTCTAGAGATATCGTGTGGAAACGAAAGTGTTTTAACGGACAGAATTTGCTTATTTATGACCTTGACCTTTGACCTTTTGACCTCAAAATCAATAGGGGTCTTCTTTAGTCCATAGGGAGTTGCTATGCTAAATTTCATTGCAAAAGCTCAAAGGGTTCTCGAGATATCGTGTGGAAACGAAAGCGTTACAGACAGACAGAAAGACGGACGGACGGACAGACGGACGGACAAACCCAAATTAATATCCCCCACTTTTCAAGCGGGGGACAAAATATTGAAAGTTTGCTCCTTATATAACAGATATCCTGTCTCCTTATACAAAAGATTATGCTCAGCTTATGATCTGTCAAAGAAGGATGCCATTATTTGGGGGACGTGCAATGAAAAAGTCGCAATTGAAAAGTATAGAACTTTTGGGGATGCAGTTGTAGAGCCAACAGGTTGGTACATTTCTTTCCTCAGCAAAATTTCAATTTCTTTAAAGCAAATAAAAATTGATGATAAATAAAAATTTTTCTTGAGCTAATTTATTTAAAATTCAGTTATTAAACTGAAGTTGAAGATAATGAATATAAATATACTGTTTGTATATTCTATTTATAACAAGTCATCAATGCATAAGAAAATCAGAGTGTTGCATATTAATGCTATTTTGAAACTTTATAATACTGTTCATATTAGGTATCTAGCTACACTGTAATGGGGTTCTTGGGTCAAGCCCCGATGGACTCATTCGTCGTCCTGCTGCATTCGGATTCAGCTATCAGAATCCAGGACTCGCTGACATATTAGAGATGTCAAACGTTAAGCCAGAAATACTGGAGGTGAAATGCCCCTTTTCAGCAAAGAATATGACAATTCCAGAAGCTATTGAAAAAGTACACGGTTTCTGCCTAGGTAATAATAGTGTGTATGTATTTGTTTGAATACGTTTCATGTACTGAGATATTACTTTAAATAATTCCAATATATTAGTTTGGATAAATTTAAGTACAATTTAGCAATTGTTAAAAAAGTTTTTTCCTTCTGTTGTAATGTTAGTCCTCAAGGCAGATGATTTGCCTTCTCACTTTATTATACAGTAAGGAACAAAATACTTATACATGTAATGCCCTGTTCACACGACAAGTTTAATTCGCAGTAAATTAATGCGAAGTAAACTAATGCGAATCAAACTAATGCGAATTAAATTGCGTTCACACGACAGCTAATGCGAAGTAAACTAATGCGAATTAAAATTTTACTTCAACAGTCAGGCGTGAGGAAGGCTATTATGACGTCATTTGCAAATCACGTCACCTTATGCAGAAGGAAATGCATTTGACATCATGCCACAGTGTCTGGAGACATATTTTAATGATTAACACATTTTTTCTTAGTTTTTCACTCAAAAATAGCACAAGTACTCAAAGCTGACCACCGACATGACGCATTTTACTTAATTTTGCCATTACGCATGCTCCAAAATTTAATTCGAATTAGCTTCGCTTAGCGTTCACACGGAGCTAATGCGAAGTAATTTAATGCGCAGTAAACTAATGCGAAGTAAACTAATTCGCATTAACTTCTCCGTGTGAACGCTAAGCGAAGCTAATTCGCAGTAACTTTACGTTTAATTCGAATTAAACTCTCCGTGTGAACAGGGCATAAATATTTATTAGTTAAATAGTTTTGTCTTATATTAATGATTGAGGCACCAATGAAAATTCTTATTCTTTAAAAATCTTCAACATATATATTTTTTTCATATAGAGGTTCAGGATTTTAATGGAGTCAAGTCCTTCAAGCTATGAGAGAACCACCAATACTATGATCAAGTGCAAGGACAGCTTCATATAATTGGGAAATCCTTGTGTGATTTTATGGTCTGGACACCAAAAGACTGTGCGATTGTGAGAATTAACAAAGACATCAATTGGGAGATCAACATATCTGTTTTGACAGACTTTTATTTCTGTAAATTTCTCCCGTATTTACAACAGCTATAAGATATAACATTAAACATGGTGAAAACATTTTAATTTTAATATCTTAGTTATCTACACTTGCAAAATTCTGAGCAATTTCCTGCATAAGGGGATCCTGAAAATTGACTAAAACACAGCATAATTGAAAGACTTTTGTAGAAATATATCTAAATTGCTGCGGAACATGCCTTGAAATTTCATAATTCTTTTTTGTCCACGAGTTTCCTCTCTGGTCCCTTGCACATTCGTCATGAAATTATGGGGATGTAATGATTAGGTTCTTTAATTGTGCTCATTGGATTTAAAAATTCGAAGCTTTTATTAGTTTCCATGGAAAGGGGGGAAAAGTCAAAATTCTTGAACTTCGATTTTTAAATCAAAGTACTGAAAGTACAGATAGGTTTGATGGTTGTCCAAGTTTGAGTTCTAGAAAAATGTCCATCCAATTGAGCTAAAACCTTTTTAAGGCTAATAGGCATGTTGTGTAGATGTATGGAACAAAGGTCATTTTGTGTGCATACGCATTTACGTGCGGATGCGTGCAACATTAAATGACTTGTATACTGAATATTGCTTTAACTTTTACACTTTTTTGATGAAATGCTCATTTCATAAGGATATTATATAAGGATATATTAATAGTGTAGATAATATGACATTGTCAGATTAGCACGAAATGATGTGCATGCACGTGCACTTTGCTGTGATTGGCTGAAACAAAAATTTTAATATCTCTTTCTTTTTTGATGAAATACATTGAAATTTTAAATAAGTCATGCATTACGACAAGTCATGCATTACTACAATATGATATATAACAATAATCATGAAAACATGTGCATGCATGTGCACTGCAATCTGATTGGCTAAAACTTTAAATGGCTATAACTACTCTAGTTTTGAACCAAACAGGATGGGATTTATAACTTGCATATGCATGCACATGCGCTTACATGTAGCTCCGATTTTAAAATCAAAGTACCGAAAGGACTGATACGAGTTGATGGTTGTCCAAGCTTAGCTAATGGGCATAGTATTACTGATGACAAAATGAAAATTCTCCAGTTCGGGAAACATACGCTATTGCTTGCAATAGCAGACTTTCTAGTCATTATGTCGTCCCGAACGAAGTTGGGGATGACATATTACGATTGTATGCATGTTTAAATACATCCTCAGTGTATCAGTAATATGATCATTTTTCTGCTAACTGTTGTTGTTGAAACGCAGGTAACAAAATTCGATGATAATCAGCATGCACAAAATTTTGCTGGCTAACTGTGACCTCTTAGCTTCGGACGTAGGAAATATTGATCCTTAGTAGTGCCTGACGCAATGGCATAAGGCAAGTAAAAAAATGCTCAATAACAATAAAGAACAAGTATATAAAGCTCAAAAATAAAAAGATAAAATCACCCTTATACTTCATCAAAGTTAAACCTATTGTTCTTATATAAAATTTAATGATGCTTTTTCATGCGCTGCATCTAATAATTCCTTATATCATTCATACTTTAACTGAAACCTGTTCTTTTCAACTGTGTGCTGTTCTTAAGCCCGGCTTTCAGTACTTTCAGTACTTTGATTCACATTGCTGCTGCAACCCACTTGTATACAAAAGTGTTCACAGAGGAAAATATTACGCAGATGGAAAGGTGGCAGTTGGGCGCCAGGGCTGTGTATTGAGCAAAAAATTTCGATACGATACGATACAATATTTTTTTTTTTGCTAAAGATATATGCGATATATTGGATTCTATTACAAGTCAATCATAAAAGGCTTATAAATCATTTTACGTATGAATTTCATAAAAATTAAGTGTTTCATTGTCATTACAACTTACACCTCAAATTAAAAATTTTAATGACTATCAAATCAAAACTTTTAATGACTGTAAGATCAATATTTTACATTAAAATTGTCTATGCTTTAGTAATAATTCTAAAAACTGTGTTATTGCCTTAAAAAAAAGAATTAAATGATTATTGAACAGATTTAATTAAAAAAAAAAAACCATATGAGAGGCGGGGTTATCATTTAGTGAGCTCATTGCTCACAGTACCTCTAGTTTACTTTTTGATCTGATACGTATTTTAGGTTTACCATAGCAAAACATTGACATTGCTAATTTATTCCTACCTATGACATGAGATATGGCGGCTTCTGAAAAACATTAGCTACCATGAGTTTTTTCCTCTTTATACATTAACGTAAAACAATATATAGCAAAACATATGGACATAATGGGAGGTGGGGGTATCATTTAGTGAGCTCATTGCTCACAGTACCTCTAGTTAAAGATATTTTCTGATATCAAAAAAATATTTTTTCATATCAAAAATTCGATTTTTTAAATATCAGAAATTCGATTTTTTATATCAGAAAATAATTCTTTTTTTTTTAATCGAATTTCTGATACTGTATCAGAAAATCCCTTTGTGATATCAAAAATTTTAATTTCTGATATTTCAAAAATGATTTTGTGATATCACAAATTCAGCTGGATATTTTGATATCACAAGATCCTTTTTTAAAAATCAGAAATTCTACTATTATATATTCTTTAGGCTGATGCAGGTAATAAATTCTCCCTGGTCAAGATTGTGTTCATATTAAGTAGGTCATTCTCTGTGTTTGGATTCTGTCATTTTTCTCATGAATTTGTGGAAAGTCAAACCTGTAAATAAAACAAAATGAGTTTAACAAGTATTAGTTTTATGATGAAAAGAAAGACAATTCTAAAACTAACTGAAAGTTTTAATTAGTTACTCTATAATTTATTAAATTTTCTTTGGAATCTTTTGCTAATGATATTCACAACTGAAAAGGCCACAAAACTTATTCGGAATATCGTAAGTTTTGTAACTTGTCAGCATTGTAAATTAATGCATTTAATAATTTATGTATATTTTTTCTATATTTCTAAATTTATATATACGATATGCTAAAGCACACAAATATTTAGGCTAAACTGAAACATGGTGATTTTCTTTTCAGATTTAAGGGAGGCGTAGAAATTATTGCTGTAACACGTATTTGTAAGGATGACAGCATCTGATACTTCTGTAATGGAGAAACAGTGATCATAGAGCGATGATAAAATATAAACCACCAATCATTAAATGACACGTACAGCCTACACACGGATCAAAGACACCTAAAATTTTCAAGTTCTGGTCAGTGTTTCTGTTCAAAGAAATCTTACTCACTTCTTTATGAAAGTACTCACATTAATTGACTGATTTAACAAAGATTTAAGAAATCTTTTTAATTAGATATTCACTTTTATTTGTTTCCTTAATATGTACTGTGATGACCTTTTAATGAACAGAAAAATTATTTTTTACTTGGTATCGTATGTTATCGTATGTTTTATATGTTAGGAAGAAAAATGGCCTGGGAATGATTTTTCATATCTATAGAAATTTCATAGTGGATGATGCGAGATGCATACTGTTTTTAATATTGTAAGAAAAGAAAATCTGAAAACACATACAGAATAGTGTCTTCCCATAAATTTTTATTAAAATAGAAAATTTGAAATAGTCATAACACCAAATTTTCGATTTTAGTAAAAATTAGTGGAAAGACAATAGTATACAATTATTTAAAGGTCCTTTGACACAGATTTGAAGTGAATATTTTCTCTATAATATTACGACTTATATATTTTAATAGCATTTCACACAAAAATTGATTAAAAATCTTCTTTCATATAAAAGTTTCTAGTATTAAAACTTCAAATTTCTTTGGCGGGTTTCATTGACACATCCTTGGACTTTCACAAATTTTAATTTTATTCTTTTTACTAAGGAAAAGTGGCAGTCTTGTTGTGTATAAATGTAAAATATTAATACTATAATCCAGAAAATTCAGAGTAGACATTTTGGAAAGCAAAACAAACATAAGATATATTGTCAGTCCGTGCAGTTGTGGTAAGCTGACTTTGACGATTGAACGCACATGGTGAATCGTTAACATCAACAATAACAGAGCTCGTGTCCTGTTTACAAAAAATTGTGTACATAACACGAGTATGATGGATTTGCTATACTCTGTACACAACACTTAGCTTGGAATGACGATACTTGTGAAGGAGTTTTGCTTTCTAACATTTCTATTATGAATAAAATTATTTTTCTGAATTAAGTTTTAATATTTCTCATTAATACACAAAAAGATTGCCACTTTTTTTAAGGAATACGAATAAAGGTAAAATTATGATGTGTCAATCAAACCCGCCAAAAAAAATCGAAGTTTTAATAACTTTTAAATGAAATATTATCAAATGTTATATTTAATGATTTTTTTGTGTGAAATGATAATAGAATATGTAATTCATAATATTATACAGAAAATATTAACTTCAAATCTGTGTCCAAGTACCTTTAATGATTTTTTTTTTTTTTTACAAAAGTTGAACTCAAATAAGACGTGGAGGGTTATTAAAATATAAGCAAGTGTAGAATTTTACATAATACCCTTCAGTCTCTAATGTGATGAATATGAAAAAGATATAATCTAAATTGATAATAGGCGAAAAATCAAGGTTATTTATCAAGATATACGAAAAGGGGGGTGACGGTCGAATTTGTGCAATCATGCATGGAGGAAACGACCTAGTCCCGACATAACATACTATACTTTGCAGGTATGCCTACCAAAAGAGAAAGTAAGCAAGGATGGCATCGGTAAGAATCATTTCATATTTTCAGATAAATGAATTAACCACTTAATAATATTTCTTATTCTTAAATCTTTGACAAAAAGTTTAACAACCTAATAATCATCTGGTTAGAAAAAATGTACTTTCGATTTAACATATATATACTCCCCGTCAATGAAAACGCAACACTCTACTTTTAGGGTGAAAAATTATATACGGGATATAACTATGTACCAAACAAGTTAGGACATCTTTTACTTTGCCAAATTAGTTATTTAATGGTTGAATGGTTTTTTATACCATTACCGGAAGTTGCTTTTTTAACCCTCTGAACAGATAACATTGAAATAAAACATCCCCCCTTCCGACAAATTAATCAAAACATGCTAGTCCCAGTGGCGGATTTAAGGGGGGCGCACCCTGCGCGCGCCCCCCCTAAGATTGTCAAAGTTAGAGTAAATCAAATATGTCTACTTGGTAGACCTCATTTTAACCCTTCAAAATCTCTAGAATCCAGGAGCTTCCGGGGGCGAAGCCCCCTGGACCCCCACCAGGGCTTTGGTAGACCTCATTTTAACCCTTCAAAATCTCTAGAATCCAGGTGCTTCCGGGGGCTTCGCCCCCTGGGCCCCCACCAGGGCTGGACCCACTGGGGGCCTCAAGGCGGCCCCAAGACCCCTTGCCTATTTTGGCGCCCCCCTAACTCCAAATCCTGGATCCGCGCCTGAGTCCGCCATGTACAACATTAATGTAGGCAGTCCGATTTCTACCATGTCTTAGGTTTATTAATGTCTTTATTTGAGCGAAATAAATATTCTTGGGCATGTTTAATTGCCTGTTGTTCAGATACAGCGGTCGAATTTTCTCTAACTTGGCGTAGTGTAGTAACTCTTGGACTTCCGGTCAAGAAACTGTTATTTATGCTATTGAAACACATGAGTCTGAAGAGTGTTTAAATAGTGTTCATTTGCATCTGCATCTCTTTTTTTCTTTATTTTGAGAATCTCCACCATTAGCAACGAAAATCAGTCATTTTTAGGAAATATAGGCATCACATCCGGTAAAGAAAGAAGAATTTTTTTCCCGGGCTTATTACTTATGATAAACAGCTATAAAACCTTGAAAACCCAAAATATTGTTAAAGATTTTGTTAAAAATTCAAAAATTTGATTTCTGCTAAGAGGGCTAAAAAGCAACTTCCGGTAGAGGAAAGAAATTCATTCAACCGTTAAATAACTGATTTGGCAAAGTAAAAGATGTCCTACCTTTTTTGGTACGTATAGTTATAACCCGTGTATACTTTTCACCCTAAAATTAGAGTGTTGCGTTTTCATTGACGGGGAGTATATAATACTTTCAAAGAATGTGACTCTCATCAGCCACGTACCTCAAATCACTTGACTCGACACTAATCTAGTGTTTCGGCGGTGTGATATATACGAGGTTTAAGATTTTGATAGTATATTAATTAGCTGCAAATCCGCCATCATCAGGAGCCTATTTGCACATCTGTTAAACAGATTGTTAAATTAGTTAGGAGAGAAGCATATTACTCAGATTTTTAATGTGTTTAATGACACAATAGGTTTTTCTTGGAGGATTGTATTGCAATCCTTATATTTTTTGAATATGCTGATATGTTAATTATTTTATACATCGATTTTATTAGCGAATATCGCATACAAAATGGGGTTCCTGACTTAGAACCCATCGCATATTCAATTATTTCTTTATATATATTTGCAAATTCAAATATATTAAATCTGAGTAAATAAATTTGGTCTGTTGTGGGCTTGGCTTAGACTGAGAATTTCCCTAAAAGCCGTATCAACAGCAGCCATAAGCTTGTTACATCACAGCTGACCAGCAAGTACTCACAAGATAACACGAGGACGGAGAGATTAAATCTACTCCATAAAATATACAAAAAGTAATTGATGCTGCAAATTACCCTTACATCTCAAGAAGGCCTATTACATTTCAAAAAGGCACTTACTTAAATGTAGTCATTTTTATTGATTATAATTTTAATCATTTATTGTGCATGCATAACTTGAGCACAAGTTTATGGACATCTCAGAATTCACATTGAAGAATGAACTTCTGCGACCACACAACGAGAAATTGCTGGTCAGCTGTTCTCACACCGCCGAAACACTAGATTAGTGTCGAGTCAAGTGATTTGAGGATGAGAGTCACTTTCTTTGAAAAAAAACGTGCACCACCTTCCCCTTTATTATCAGAAAAAAATCAGGTACGTACTGTAACTAGATTTCACTGTCATAGACAACAACGTCTGCTCGGTTTGCATCGCTCCCCATAAATATATGTATATATGTATAAATATTTCCATTTCTAATTTTTTTCTCTGTGATAACTTTGGGAGTATATTTTTGATAATTCTGCCGGCGTGTAAATTAGGCAGGTCGATAGGTCAGCAGCTAAGGAGGCCTAATATGCATGCAAATCTCGTGCGCACCTGTCTCTCTGTCTGACGCTAAGGAAGCCAAATATGCATGTAAATCTCGTGCGGCTGCCTTTGTGTTTGACGTCAGTATGCGAGGACTATTGAAATTGGCATGGAAGCCCTCGTGTAATTTATTAAGGAATCACTGTCTAGTTTTGAGAGTATGCCAGGGCATCAACAATAGTTGGAAACATGGGATAATTTGCATAACGGGCGAAGCCTGGGATAATTTGCATAACTGGCGAAGCCCGTTATGCAGATTATCCCATGTTTCCCACTATTGTTGATGCCCTGGCATACTCTCAAAACTAGACAGTGATTCCTTATATTTCCATTTCATTGTGGAGTAAAATTGTAGACTTAGACATTAAGAATGTAGACTAATCGATTTAAATTACAGTCAATTCTCGAATTATCGCCATTCGATTCATCGCCATTTTCGCAATACCGCCATGATTTCCCAAGAACGTTTTTCCTGCTATATAAAATTCTCTTTACAACGCCAAATTCGCATACCGCCATCCGCCACCCTGTTTTCAAAACAAACGTCCATTTTTAAGTGTCAATTATCTCGATATACCGCCACAGGTGCGTGCGGTCAGTGAAGCGCGGCTAATTGGTTGACGCTATCCCTGTTGTAAAGCATGCAAAGCCAGACAAGGTACACGCAATTAAATAATAAAATTAGAATTAAATGAACAAATAATTTTAATATGAACTGTTGCAATGATTTTGTTCTGTTGTTTTGTTAAAAAATCATTTAGTCACAGCTTCGCCACGAAAGCAGTAGTTGTGAAAGTATGCCGAATACGATATTATTTTGATGATCTCTGCTTTAAACAATGCAAAGTTTGCTTAAAAATTAATAAACGGTATAAATTGTGAACGTTTCACTAACAATATACATAAAAAATAAATTTATTCAAGAATCCATTTTACGTACTGTCAGCAATATATCACGAAGATCGACCCAGCAAGTTTTTTTTTTTTTCAATATCAGACGTGCCGATTTACATGTACATAGATGCACATGTACTTGTCTTTATTTCATAACTGCATATTTTGTTTAAAAAAAATTGTACATAAAAAATTACTTGAAGTATTTTAAGATTTAGAAATATGTTTTATATACATGTACATGTAATTATAAGAACAGAAACGTTTTATGGTATTTCTAACAACGGTAACTCTATTTCTTGTTTCCTAAAAGATGGGAAATTCAAATCATCGCCAAATTCGTTATACCGCCATGATTTCTAAGTTACAAAAGGTGGCGGTTTATCGAGAATTAACTGTACACGAGGGCTTCCATGCCAATTTTACCTATCGCCCTGCCTAATTTACACGCCGGCAGAATTATCAAAAATATACTCCCAAAACTTACAAAGAGTTATCACAGAGAAAAAAAAAATTAGAAATGGAAATATATTCGATTAGTCTACATTTTTAATGTCTAAGTCTACAATTTTACTTCACAATGAAATGGAAATATAAGGAATCGCTGTCTAGTTTTGAGAGTATGCCAGGGCATCAACAATAGTGGGAAACATGGGATAATCTGCATACTCTCAAAACAAGACAGTGATTCCTTAAATAATTTATGGGGAGCGTTGCGGACCGAAAACCCTTGGCTAGCGAAGATGAGACAACAAATGTAAAATGAGTCAAGGTTCTTTACTAATTGCTGATTCTCTAGAGATTGCACGGAATTTGTCTTTATCCCCTTCGGACACAGTCTATATTTGTTTAATTGGGATCTTGTCGGTTCTCAGATCACTGGCAATCTACCGTAAGTATTAGCGGTCACGCGCGCGGTGGGACAAATAGAGAGGCAGAAGTGAGGCTTGTAGCACGTGGATTGGCGGAATCAAGAGCAAATAAATATAAGGAATGGTTAGATTGTTTCAGAAGGCGTTTTTGCAAATTATCACTCAAGTCAATCGATTGATCATGAAATCGAAAAAAAGACAGTTATTCCTTAAATCTATGTTTCAGAACCGTAAACTATACTTAACACTGAATTTCTGAAAAACAATAATTTGCGATAACAAAACATAGACTATCTGATGGTCCGTGTAACACTTAAGAATTCAAATTTCTAAAATGATTTTGAGTTTTAGAATGTTAACATATTAGTTCAAATACCCAATTTAAAAAAAAATCAACCTGTTTTCGTATATTGAATTTTAATATTTTAGTTTAAAAATCTAAAATTTCAAATTTCCAAATAGGTTTTAGAATCATAATTTATTAGATTTTTACCTTCCATGTTTAAAATTCAAATTTCCCAAAACGATTTTTGGATTTTAAACTTTTGTGATAAGGCATTATTCTTAATTGTCTGAATTTAATTCCTTTAAAGTTTCAAGAGTGGCCAATTCTTCTTTTTGAATGTAGCAAATACCCCAGTATCCTGTAGAAGTGCAATATTTAAGGTTTTGTAATTTCAATCTTCACCTTGTAATGAGGTTATAGTCAAAAGGTAACTTTTTCTTCAAAAACCTGTTTTCAAGGTATCTTCTTACAATTTCATATATCAGAGTGTCTCTTTGACCTGATGATAACTCTATCACAAGGTCAAATGATAAATTCATCATCAAGTCAAATGGGTCAAAGGATAAATTTATCATCAGATCAAATGATAAATTTATCATCAGGCCAAAGTTTTAATTTATCATCAGGTCAAGGGATAAATTTATCATCAGGTCAAAGTGACCCTCTGATATGATTTATAATAAATTGAGTTTCTTAACTCTTAAACCAATTCATATATGTCCTCTAGATGTGGAATTTATATATATAAATAAGGTTTAAGAATTTAAAATTTCACCCTGGTTGAAAAGAAAAACTTTCATATATTTAAAAAAATGTTAACCCTTGAGTTTTATCTACATGTACATTTAAAAAGAAATCTTTACTCGGAAGAAAAATCTTTTTTCATATGCACATTTTTTTTTACCATATCACAAATATTGAAAAATCTTATATCTCAGATAAAACCCGGAACACGAGTCGTCAGGGGTCCGGACTGGGCCTCCAAAAAGCAGGATAATGGAGAAGGCTTCCTGGGGACTATAATATTTGTCCCCAAGTCTGGAACCAACGACAGTACGGTGACCGTGATCTGGGACTCTGGGCGGGAGCTCCGGTACAGGGCGGGGCACGATGGAAAGTACGACCTGAGAGTGTTCGACACGGCTCCTGTTGGTATGTGAGCACTCTGACTTTTATACTTTTTAAAAATTTTTCTTCACAGATTTTCTCCCTGAGCAGACATCTTTGTAATTGTTGTATACTCAGGCGCAATTAAAATTACTTTTGTTTGCCTCTACTAAGTTGGGAAAATATATACTAAGATATTTGATATCAATTTCAACATTCAGATCATTGTGTTACAAGGTGAAATGCTAGTAAACACAAATACATGCTCATTTAAATACAAGTGAACATTTTTTTTTGAAAAAGAACAAAGCACGTATTACAACATTCCACAGCGACCAGCTACATGTAAAATCAATCAGATTTAAATAATGCGAAGGGTTTATATACTTCACTTCTCACAAAGGAGATAGAGGAAGTAATTTTTATCAGGTGTCTTCAGCTAATTATAAAGTTTTGCAATATCTGGCATTTTTTTATAGTATTATCATTTTTATCAGGCATCGTTCACGATCATATCGTCTGTAATGCTTGTAATGACACACCAGTAAAAGGAATTAGATGGATGTGCACAGATTGTGAGGATTTAGACCTTTGTAACCTTTGTTACATGGATGACAAGCACGACACAAAACATGGGTTTGTTCGGATTGATACGCAGAACTCCGGCGCGTAAGTAGCTTTATGGCTTCGAATATATCAAATGCAGCCAAAATGATTTCTTTTCTTTATTAATTTTATCATCATTTTACAAACAGCTTGACAGTTTGCTTGATGGGCCATGCTAAAATTTTGTGTGCTGGTTATCATTTTACTCATCGATTGGATCAATGAAATCAATACTAATTTGCATATGAAACTCGGAATACAACAATACCCTGATAATACTGGCCAATCACATTGAACGATTGTTTATCAGTACGGCATTTGTATTCAGCAGCAACACGTGGTCAGTCAAAGCCCATTTTCTGTCCTCAAAAAAGCATGTGATATATTTGCTGTGATTTGACCGGATGAGTTTTTAAATACGTATAAGAAATTTAAAGAATGGACTTAGTAAGGCTACTTTGCTTCTATTATTATTAATTATAGGAAGTAAAACTTGCTTTTTTCGTTCACGTGTAAGTGTTGTTTATTCAACGCGATTGGTCAGTATTGTCAGTGGTATTGCTGGGTTCCGTGTTTTATATGCAAAGTATTATTGATTCCATTGAATTCAAAGATCCAATCGATGAGTAAAATGATAATCAGCATGTAAAATTTTTGCACGCCCTATCAAGCAAACTGTCACGCTGTTAGTAAAGCAATAATACATGTACTATCAAGTTTGGAAAGAGAAATCCATGTTGGAGTTACCGGTCGACAGGTTATGCTTATTACTTCATGGCATCTGATTCTAACTCTGTTGTTTTTGAGCTCCGTGTTTCTTTTTTCTTTCATTTTATTTTCTTTCGATGGACTATTCGTTATGTAATACTTATTTAAAAGAACAGTTACCTCTTCATCAAGCTGTATATTGCTGTATCTGGTCCTCTTGAAGTTAAAGTAAGAATTAGTGTTAACCATAAACGTTTTTGACATAAAATTGTTTTACTAGATCATATATAACATTCTAAGGCTCATTCAGTCCCATGACTTATTTATAGAGTGACATTGAAAGTAAACTTACCTATAAAAAAACAGAGATAGGATCATGTGCAACGGAGGAGCAAGTATCCCCTGCTGATCGGTCCCATCGTCATAATCAGACAGCCGGAAAATCCGTAGACAATAAAGAGTGAAAATACTAGTAATATTCATAATTAACTTTACATTTTGTTAGTACGAAATATCTTACATTTTCTTGGCTTTTTCACGATTTTGATATTTCACGTACCAGGAAACGTAAGATTTGGCGCCATAACGAAAACTGGAAATTTCGCCGTTCCCAACCTGAATAGATTTTCGATAGCCTACTTGTGAACCGCAATAAATGCCGAAATCAGAAATAATCAATAGCACAATACATCTAGTTCTTAACAATATAGTTTGAAAAGAAAACCAGACTTCCGAGATTTTATGGGCTCTCGACAGACTGATAAATTGTGTTCATCGGATTGTATATTTTATGAATGAACAATAGAGATTATGTTGACATGTACTCAAAGTAAAATTGATAACTTTTAAGTTTGACATTTAATTCGGTTTGCAAGTTAAAATCAACCCGATTGGAGGTTTGGATTTCAAGTTTTCGTAAAAGCGTCGGTTCAACGTTTTCCTTGAACATTAAAACTTTTGAAATATCAAAATTGATTAAAAAAGCCCGGAAAATGTCGGACTAGCATTTTGTAAGAGAACTGAAAATACTGTTGTTATAGCTGTTTGTAATAAGCAAAAGTAAGCGCAAACATTTTAATGTATTTCGCATTGATATAAAGATGTTTTTATCTGATAATTGAACAGCTTCCCCGTGCCTCCTAGGATCAGTAGTAAAAGTTTAGAGGCTTATGGACTATTTCCAGAGGCCGAGGTGATAAGAGGACCACACTGGAAATGGGAAAATGATGACGGTAATACAAAACTAGACACTGTCTCAAAAAGTAATACTCGCACACAAATGCGTGTCTCTAAAATACAAAAGCCATAATGGGACATGATGATTCTCAAAAAGTATAAAAGTAAACCGAGATCTCGATTTATACAATCCGTTCTCTCGGATTGACAATCTGTTATAACGAATTACTAATTCGTTCCCTCAAATTACACAATCCGTTATCTCGGATTGCAATTAATTCTCTCAGTTTAGACAATTCGTTCCCTCGGAATGTAAATCATGAGGTCCTAAAGTTTCTGTGACTTTCCTGTTACCTATTAATTGGTAACATGTAGTGTAATGGGGCCTAATATTTTCCTATAGCATCTCATCTCGTTACTCACAATACTCTTCTCTAGCTCTGATCAGTGAGAGTCCTGGTTTCACAGGTATATAGGAAGACCGACATAGCAAGGGAGCACATTAGCTGGATCTTTGATTGCAGAGTGATTTCTATGTCTCGTCAGATGGTTTGTAATTTCGCAAATGCTATAGTTGTTTGTGCAATCCTTGCTATAATTCCTGTTTCGTCCCAGAACCAACACCAGGAGCGTTACATGTATCAATGCTTACAAGAAGGATATGGAGATAACGAACAGTATTCAATCTCAAAGTCCATGAAACAAAACAAAATAAGAGCAAAGCAAACACGGACCTCCGAAACATCAGAGGTGAGATCTGGTGGTATGGAGGATTAAGCATCCCCTGATGACCGGTCACATCTGCAGTGTGCTCCTTGTCATGATCAAAAAATAACAAAAAAAATCCGTCATCAATTCAGTTTAATTTAATTTAAATAATGGACTAATAATAAGCACGAAAAACGTCAGTCAGCATTTGACTCCATGATAAATTGTATTTGCTGACCATAGGAACATATGAAATGATAACTTTTAAAAAAGGCTGATTTTCAATAATATGCCTCGTTTTAGAAATTTTTCATACGGAGAGCAAGCTCTTGTGTATCGAATCAACTGAGATATATACACTCCGTATGCAGGTGATGAAGGTATATTACTGCATAAGTATATCATATAGCTTCGTTGTTAGACTACCCTTTACGTTTTTTCAAGTAAAATATCCAAGTATGAAACAGATATGTCAGACTTTGTGATATCTTTTATCTCAATCTCACCAGGATATATCGTATCGACGAAGGAAAGGAAATTACCATTTTTAATTGACAATACGTCGTCGATATATCTAAATGTCGAGTTGAAGGCCACAGCAAGTGTTTTCTTCTTTTCACGCATAAAATATCGCACAAATTCTGCTTCATATAAATATTAAAATAGATCCGCTAAAAACGGAGCGCAATTGGTACCCATGGGATTTCCAATAGAATGTTGGAATACCTGGTCACCAAAAACCACAAAGATATTGTCAATCAGAAACTCAAGCATCTCTTAAAGCACTTGTGTGTGCAATCAGAATGTGTTTTATCAAAATAATTTTGCAAATGACCAATGACCAGGTAAGTAAATTTACGAATTCCATTTATCGGAAAAAGCAGCTGTCAATGATATCAAAAAGCCCGTACTTTAATTTATCGTAGGGAATGGTTGTATATTAAGTTGAGAAGTCGTAAGTTTTTAAGCTGTTGATTTTGGTAAAATATTGTGATTTCAAATTGTCCAATTTGAATTTTTGAGTATCCACATCTGATTTACACCACATCGTGAATATATTGTTGTACACAGTACTCCTGAAGTTTTTCCTTCACTTCTGTCAATATCTTAGTGAGGAGTAACGAAAAAGGCTTGATTGAACATTTACCAAGTCTTATATGATTCAGAAATATTCCCCTGATCTTGACCTTTGAGATGACGTCTTGAGCGCTTTTGTTCATAAGCTTTTTTTTGCACTTATCTCCATGCCATATGCAGAGACTACTTGGTCAAGGCGATTCACCAAGCTGGTTAGCTCAGCCACTTTCTCTGCAATGCATGTCATCAGTGAATTGTAGGTTTGTGACGTTTTTCTTCCGATGGAGAATGTGCCTTTGTGACAGACCTGGGGTAATGGTAATGTGTAATGGTAATGCATTGTAATCATTACATTTTTTCAAAGTAATGGGGTGTAATGGATCCATCTTTCAATTACAAGTAATTGTAATGTAATGCATTACTTTTAAAAAATGTCTGTAATGACCAATTACTTTTCAATTACATTTCAATTACATTTTATATATTAGACTCTTTTTATTTTTTTAATCTGAAACAAATAAATATCACTGAGAAGTTACTATTATTTTTAATGTTAGAGTCTTAAAATTAAAATCCTATATCCTACAATATTTTTTATATTATTAAATGGTAATTTATAGACAAACTAAATAATTCTTTTAATAGAAATCTTGACAATTAAGACAATTGTAAAATCAATTGAAGAGAACCAGAGAAAAATATTTAAGAAATCATCAGGTTTTAAAGAAAGATACAAAAAAGTGATATAAATACAGGTATAGTGAGATTTAGTTAAATTAAGATACAAATTATATTTTTCTACTTTTTTCCCCTTTTCAATCTGGTAAAATGGACCTGGTAAACATGATACAAGATCAGTATGATTTATTGTAGAGAAACTAAGGCCAAATATAAATATAGACTGATATATTGACCATCATTCACTTTTCGGTAGCTTATTAAGGCCTCAGAATTTAAATCCTTCTTGTATCCAAGTACTTGTAATTATCACTTTTGGTTGTGTTTAATTTATGGTTTCATTGATTATACATATTAAGCTAATTAGAAGTGCTAATTAATTCATTAAGTTTTTAATACTCCTTATACATTTATAGCATTATCTGTTAATTAAATATTAGTTTACATAAAACATCTAGTAGGAAATGTTCAATAAATCATCTAGTACCGGGTATTAAAAAAACAAAAACAATAGAGAAACTAACATCAGATATTAAACAAAACCATAACATTGAAAGTGTTCTGATCCACTTTCTTCGTCAATGTAGATTGGATTGGTAAACTACATGAACATGATTCATGAATCCAAAATCCCAATACCTCTCTGATTTATAGATCTGAGGGAAAACATATTATCGAGCAAAAAGTGTGAAATTATAAAATAGGTATAAATTGTGTGGAGATACGTTTTGTGTTTTTCTCTAATAAAATGTAATGTGTAATGTAATTCATTACTTTAACAAAGTAATTGTAATTTATTAATTACTTTACTTAATGTGAGTAATGGTAATTGTAATTGTAATGATAAAAATTCCAAAGTAATGGTAATGTAATGAATTACATTTCAAAGTAATTGACCCCAGGTCTGCTTTGTGATCATCAAGAGCATTTTCCATAATCCTTTCAAGAAAGATGTTTAAAAAGGAGGAGAGAAAGCAGAAAGCTCGAAATACTAGTATAAGAAAAAATATTTTATAAATGTTAGTTTTTATTAACGGGGACTAAAGAGGTTATCCTTTTCATGAAATCTTTAAATGTACACAGTGGCAAATGCATGTATTTTTTAGAGACCCTATAGATGTGCAATAAGAATTTCAAATTAATGTTTTCATGTACCTTGTTGGCAATTGATAATTATTTAAAATAACAACCATTTTCTACATTCATCTTCTTAATTTCTCAATAGTCAATTCTTCCTTTGAATATTATTAATCTATTTATAAAGCAGTGCAATAAGGGTATGCTATTTTTCATTTCCGCCCTGTTGTTTTCAAAACCCAGACAGAATGTATGATTCCGTATATGGAATAAGAGATTCATTGCCCAAATAATCAAGCATTTTATGCTCAAATTGATACAAATTCATATTGTTAATTATGATGGAGAGAATATTGAGGGGCAATTACTTTCCTTTGGGTATTACTTTTTAAGACAGTAATATATTTTTATATCCAATCTTTTTTCAACTGTTTCCGAAACAGAAACACTTTATTGTTTTGCAGTTGAATACAAAGATATTTTACTTCAATACCTACCGGTTTACCTTTAAAATAAATATGAACCATATTTGCCTCTTTTTGAAAAAGTGAAAAAAGAAAATAATAACGTTTATCTAACAGGTGGTGAGGGTAAAGTGGGTAAAATACAACAGGTGGTGACGTGGGATGACAAGTACCACCGTGGAGGGGTAAAGGTGTTGTGGAGGCACGACACGTTACTGAGTGATTACCGGGTAGGGGGCGAGGGGTGCGTCGACGTCATCTACAAAAGGTCAAAGGAGGTTGGAAGCGGAGGGAAATATTACCCAGAACACATCCCTGTTGTTGGTAGGGTATAATAATTATATAATCTCAGATTCATTTATTTGAATGACATGTCAGCTACTAAATTGCCAGAGAGTTTCTCTTGTTTTTAGGAAATGTTTCTTATACTTAAAAAATATATATAACTTTTTTGAAACCTTGGATTACTATTACATATCTTCAGTAATTCGTAGCATTATGTTGTGGTACATTTTGGAAAGTGATTGACCCAATTCAGAGTTCTCTCATTCAAGTCTTAGTTTATGTGACTGGTTCTTTTTTCTTAAGATATAAACAAACCTGGAATTATTCTCCTTAAACCTGGAGACAAAGTTAGAGTGAACTTGACAATGAAAGATTTTAAGAAATTACAGGATAATCCAATGTATGGTGAATGGGAGGATGAAATGGAAAAGGTTTATATTAACAATAAAAAATAAATACAATTAGAAAATTAAACTGAAAAAAATGTTAATGTGTTATTTTATTCCTGCATATTCAATTTCCATGAACCTCATTACAAAATATTATGATTCACAAAATGCAGATATTTATGCATTTTTAGTGCATTGGGGAACTAGGCACCATTGTACAGACTTTGTTTGGAGGGAAGACATGTCGAGTACAGTATGTCGATAGCAGAATCTGGACCATGAACAGAGCAGCATTGACCAGGGTTTGTACATGATACCAAGCACATAATTAATACATAATAAATAGAAATTATGATTCTGCAATTGCAGTCCAAGAATCAACTTTGATATTTTCCCACTCTTTTTAGATAAAGTAATGTAATGCTCCATCATCTTCTTATTTTTCCTTTGAAATATTCTTCAAGGAATAGGTTTTTCAGCCATATTTTCTATGATCAGATCCACACATTTTCACAAGGAGAAGCTGTAACAGTCCTCTCTGATTATAATGCTGTCAGAGACTTGCAGGACGGGCATGGGGGCTGGAACGATGACATGAAACCGGCAAGTAGCTAGGATTAGTACTGAATATTGTATTCTTTAACAGTTTTATTGTCATACATATCTTGTGAAATAACGATTATACCCGGTATTTGAACAATAATATACAATTATGGATTCTTTTGGTGTTGAATGTGGTTTGTACGGAAGCCCGTTGGTGCCACGTACGAAATATATTTTATCTGGCGGCCGCCACTTATTATTTGGAGACCGCCAGATAATTATGTGGCGGTCGCCACTTATTATTTGGCGGCCGCCACTTATATATCTGGCGGCCGACACTTAATATATGGCGGCCGCCACATAATTTTTATGGCGGCCGCTATATAACATCTGGCGGCCGCCACATATTTTTCTGGCGGCCGCCACTTATTATTTGGCGGACACCAAATATTTATCCGGCGGCCGCCACCTATATATCTGGCGGCCGCTACATAATATTTTGCGGCTGCTACATAATGTATATGACGGCTGCCAGATAACACCTGGCTTCCTGACGCGCGTGCATGTTTTAATGTGTGGTTAAAGAGGTGGATTCAGTGTAAAAATTATAATAGCAACATCAATTAACCAAACTTGTAAGAGATTTATTAAGAACCAACACTCCAATCCACACTTCTAGTAGATATGTTTTTGCATAGAGCAGATTAATATTTGATTTGAATTATGCAAGTATTTGTAGAGTGTTTCGATTATTAAGAAGCCTCATCAGGGGTCACGGACATAAATCATGGTGTTTGCTGTAAGCTATGATTGGTTAAAAATTGAATAAAGTTTTGCTTTTTGGATTTCCAAGAATGGTTTTCCAAAATTTCAGAATTCGTTTTTTATCATTTACTTTTTTAACAATAAGCAGAGGTTGTGTCAACATCCATCTTCCTAACCCAATAACACTCACCTTTTGCAAAATAATTTATGTGGCGGCCGCCATATAAATTATTTGGCGGCCGCCAGATATATAAGTGGCGGCCGCCAATTAATAAGTAGCGGCCGCCAGATATATATGTGGCGGCCGCCAAATAATAAGTAGCGGCCGCCAGATATATATGTGGCGGCCGCCAAATAATAAGTGGCGGCCGCCAGATAAAATATTTTTCATACGTGGCACCAACGGGCTTCCGTAGGTTTGTTATTCATCAGAAAAATATTCATATTGACCGAGGCGAAGCCGACTTTTGTGAATAGGATCTCAGCGCTAAGACTTTACTTATGGTATCTGACATCAGTTTTTTGTTTGTTGAGTCAGTAGCTCCTGATGATTAATTAATGAACCAATACCTGACCAGGCCCCAAGACCATAAACTGAGAATAAACTTCAGTTAAAATTCTGATTTTTAATAGGTTGTGATTCATAATACTTACAATAATAAAAAAAATATAGGTTTATAGAATATTCCAGTCTAAACATATGGTAAAATTATGGTTTTGTTATCAAAATTATTTCGAAAGTTATATTAATTTGAAATTTTGACCTAAGTCTGTTCTGTTTATGGTCTTCGGACCAGGTCCGTATAAATACGAGTAGACCGAATTCAGAAGTCAATAACCGTTTTATTAAAGGATCAGGAATTTTACAACACTTTCGTTCTGTATCTGTATTGTTACATCACAGTAACCCGTAGGGCTTTAACGTGAAGCTATCTAGCTTGATTTGATTTATTTGATCTTTTCACACTCATTTTCATTATTGATAAACAAATCTGTCGGGAGAAGCTCAGGACTGAATTTATACTGGAAAGAATCTGGTCAACTAATACCTGACGAGGTCCGTATAGTCACGAGTAGACCTCATCAAAAGTCAATAACTGCTTTGTTAAATGATAACGAATTTGACAACAGTTTTCACAAATTTAATTTCTTCAACAAATGTAAACAGTTGTAAACATATCACATATGTTATATTTAAACTCAACATTACTAAAAGACCAGCTCAGAAGACATTAATAAAAGAACAGTTCACTGAATACTATTTTTTTTTCTTTTTCACAATGTAGTATCGGTAACATTGTTGTTAATGGTAATTTGTCCGAAATCGGTTATGTTTGGTAAAGCCATTAATATGGCATTGAATTAGATGTACAAGTAATGTTCTGGACTGATTTACTACCATTAATTTGATCATGAGACTTTTCATACTCATTTTCCTTAATTAACAAATCTGTCGGGAGAAGCTTTCTGAATTTAAACTTGAAAGAATCTGGTCAAATAATTCATCATCAAAGTCTTCAGACATAAATTCCAGGCCTGGGGGCCATAAAACTTAGATAAGCTCACTTTTGATCTCGATCTCATTTTTCTCTAAGGAAAATATAGTACTTATGGTATCTGACATCAGTTTTTTTTTTGTTTGTTGAGTCAGTAGATCCCGATGATTAATAAAATATATTTGAAAATTTATATGATACACGTATTACATTAAATATTTTTGTGATTTTTATCATCCGATCTCAGACATTGTCACGTAATAGAGTAACACTATAAAAGTCACCTGAATAAGTTTTAAGGCTGGATTCCGCCTTGTGTCCTGTTATGGCCATTATATGCCTGAATGGAAAATGTGCCTTATCCAAAATGTTAACTGCTGTTGCACGTAAGGTATGGTTTGTGTATCTCCTTGCAGACTTGGGGCGAATTACATTGTAAAGTAATGCATTACATTATCATTACTTCAACAATTTGGGCATTAAATTACCATTACCATTACTCTATTTTCTTAAAGTAATGCATTACATTACCATTACTTTAGGAGGAGACTCCTTGATAGGTTCGCTTTTTCACTGATTTTGGCCATCAAACCACCCAAAGTATTGTGGTCTAAAGGAACTTTAGTGTACCAAATAGCTAGCATCCTTCAAAATTTTCTTTGGGCGTTTAAAAATTGCTGCACATTTGGGGTTCCTATTTTTTGTGAAGCATTAAGGTTTTCACTAGGAACATATGATCATCTGGAATATGAGATGGGCATAAATTAATATGACTTTGTTTTCTTCCAGATTTGTGAGAATACTCATTATAAACAGTATACTCATTATAAATATTAAAATATTAATTAGAATTATTACCTGGTTTAGCATACATTCTTCCTTCAGCTGTGTTTCTGTCATTTTGATGATTCTTTGTCAGCTCGTCCTTGACCATGTAGATGTAAACATTTTCTCTGCCGTCCCTGGTTGCTGCAAAATCTCCCACCTTTAAATCTCTCATGTTTTCAAGCCCGCGTCGCCCAAAATAAATCATACGGTCCACAAAAACCTTTTCTAGAAGCTTAATACACTGTATTGTCATTTATGTCAAAATATTCCAGCATTTTACGAAGATCACCAGATTCAATCGCCGGGTAGTGTTCAAATCCCCCTCTGCCTTCACGTTTCAGAAACTCTCTTTGATTCTTTCAATTCATGTACATTCAAAATATCTAGACCATTAGTAGTTGTCTGAAGAAATCTGTTTAGAACGTGTCGTTTAGCTATGAAACATTTCTCTTTATACTTTTCACCATTTTCTTGTCGAACTTCTGGATAAAATTTTGAAGATACTGAATTCAAGGACGATAAATCTAACTCTTCAAATTCCTCCTTCCCGGCCTTTAGTTCTCAGATACGATCTGAAAAGTTTTACAGGTGATGCAGGGGCGTAGCAACAGGGGGGGGGGCTTGCCCCCCCACTTTTTTTCCCAACCTTACTTATACTATAGGAAATGTTAATTGAAAACCTGGTTGCCCCCCCCCCCCCACTTTTAGTGATGTACCGAAAATGAAGTATTAGAATTGGTACTGAAAGTAGTTGGCACTGAAAAAAAGTTAGCCTTATCATTTAATACCAAATGAACTATTGTAACAGAAACAAGAGGTATTGTGAGCAATGAGCTTACTAAATGATACCCCCATCTCACATATTGTTATACTGAGAAAGTCCATGTTTTGCTGTGGCTGGAAAACCCTAAATACGTGTCGGGTCAAAAAGTAAAATAGGATGTGCACAATGGCAATATGTAATAAAGATTCTGTGAAAGTTTCAATAAATTTCATCTTGTGGTATACCGGTATAAGAGGAGTTGCGGATAAGAGATGGGTACGCCAAAGAGTAACAGACAGACGGGCGTACAGATGGAGGGACATACCGATTACTATATACCCTCCCGCTTTTCAAGTGGGGGGTATAATAAATCAAAAGCAAAAATGCAATTGTTTAAATGATAAAATAGGTATTTATAATTTTACAATGTATATGTATGGATGTAACAAATGAAATTTTGTCACACAAATGAAACGAAAGCAAAAATGCAATTGCTTTAATAATTTAAGTACTTAAATACATAAACCTAAATGGAAAAGTAATGTATAGTATTCATACTCCAGGTTCTTGGAGCAAATGGTCGTATTGTAAATATAGAAATTGATGGAGATATGCATGTGAGATTTCGAGATGGAACGTGGGTTTTCAGTCCGGTTTGTATTATGCCGCTACAGAACCAAGACGAAGCAAATGAATTACCCTCTATTCCAGCCAAAAAACACAGTGAATCGGAAACCAAAACCATACAGAGAGGTAAGAGTAGAAATTGTAAATTATTATTGAATGACGTACTATTTTTTTCCCACGTTAGAAAAACATTTTATGTCGCAGTTTGACACTTCTACATGATTTTAAAATGACTAATGCTATCTAAGTAAATTTTAAGAATGAACTAACAAAATTTATAATTTTATATTTCCTGTGGAAATCTTTCTTAAATAAGCAATAAAATCAGAGCCCTTTAAATAACAATTTTAATTAAAATTTCATATTTAATATCAGAGCTTTATTGATAAAGATTTTTATATTAAAATTTTAAACTGTTCTTGACAATATGAGTTACACATACACGAGAATGGCCTTTTTCCCATTGAAAACTAGTATATTTAAAACTACATGTAGTTATTAAATATAAAATTTATGTATAATTGTCCCTTTCTTGTCATAATTATATGGCAGAATAAATAGCCAGAATATTTGCTGCGGTAAAGATATGGTAGAATCTGTTGTGATAAAGAAACGGAAGTCTCTAGCTATAGAATGTTTGTTGGGATAAAGTGCTAGCCGGATAAAGATGTGATAGAATCAGTAACTTGCATATTTCTTGTGATACAGATATGACAGAATATGTAGCTATAAAATGTTTGTTGCAATAAAGATATGACAAAACCTCTAGCTAGAACGTTTGTTGTGATACAGATATGGCAGAATCTATAGCTAGAATGTTTGAAGATTTAAAACGGGAACAGGCAGACCACACTATGAGCACTGCTGGCTTTGTACAGTCTGCTGGTGCAAATGACCTTCAAACTTTGAAAGATATTATCAAGAAGCACCCAAATGTGGTAAGTAGATTACAGAAACAAAATGATAAATGGGTAATCTCAGCAAATATATTATTTGTTGGTATAATTGGTCGTCTAAATAGGCATTTACGTTCTTTATTAGGTGGATAAAACACATGATGGAAGAACTGCTCTACAGGTTGCATGTTATGAAGGTCATATGGATGCTGTAAAGTTCCTACTGGACAGTAAGGCTGATCCTAATCTAAAAGACGCGGAGGGTGACAGCCCACTACATTACAGTGCTTTTGGGTAATAAGTGATCTTTTAAATGATAGGTAAAATACTGTGTTTTGAAAGTGTCAATACATGCTTCAATACTCTTCAGTTGAACAGACGTATTCCAAGTAGTATTAAGATAGAATCAGGAAAACAGAGTTCGAACTTTATATAATTTGCTGAATCTCTGAACACATTATATTACCATCCCTATTTAAAACAATGAGAGGGAATAAATTTTTTCTTAGAAGTACAAAAATAGATATTCATTTTCATGAGTTAACGATTTATAACGTGTTCTGGCTTTTGATGATAAACTAATCAAATAACTGGTGTCAGAAATGAAGCTGAACCAATGAAAGAACTCTTGAAGAAAGGTGCCAAAGTAAATGTTGTCAACGAGAAGAAACACACACCTCTACATATATCAGTTGGTCAGTACAGTCAGGAGTGTGTCAAAGTACTCCTGGCGCACAAAGCCAACCCCTCCCTTAAGGTAGGTCAAATCAACTGTGAGAACAACAGCACTAAACTGAAATATATGGTCCATCTAGTTTAGCAGTGACAGTGAATATGCTTGTGAAACAACATGAAATTGGAACATTTTGTCTTCAGATTCTAGTTACAGGTCCCAATTTAATTATTCTCTGTTGAAATCTATGAGGAAAAATATAGCACCAATAGTCTGTATTCCTTTTTCATCAAGAACACGAATAGCTTTTTTGAAAATAAAGTTGACTTGTGTAGCTTACCAAATACATAAATTTTGCTTGAAAACTTATTACAACTACAAAATTACTATATAATGACAGTATCGATGTTCTAATACATCAAATATATCGAGGAATATAAATCTTTATTCTTTAGGATAGTGATGGAGACACGGCAATGCATGATGCAATAAGTCAGAAAGGTGACCAGTCTGACATTTTAAAACATGTTCTTGGAAGTCCACACGCCAATTTCAAGGAAACAAATGCAAACGATTTCAACGTTCTACAATGGGCTGTTGTGAATAATTCAAGAGTGTTCGTAATTAAGTCATTTATACAGTTGAAATAGAAAAATAATCTTTTGAAAATTTTATGGTTTATCCATACAAAAAATGAGTTTTTACAATCATCAGACACTACTTGTATATCAAATTTAACTTTGAACTACTGTTTATAAATTACTAGTAATAGAATAAAGAATGATTTTTAATTTTATTGGTTTCGGTTTGGGTGTGGTTGTTAATACGGCAATCAAGAATAAAATTTTAATTATATTTTTTCTTAGGGCTGTAGATATTATCTTGAACAAAAATACCAAGATTGTTAACGACAAGATGAACGAGGATTTCACAGCTCTTCATATTGCGGCTGTTAATGGTTACGTTGAGATAACCAGTACTCTAATTCAAAAAGTGAGTATACACATTCGTAACCTTTGCAGATGTAAATGTCGGTCATATGGCATGATGTTGATAGAGTAATTCCCTGACTGGTCGCAATATCTCCATGTGACAAAAAATTGAGTTCTACTTTTCAAAGATCTTTAAATACGAGTGTTGACAATAAATTAGTGCTGATACTGTTATAAAGTCTTTGATACGAGTAAAAGTTCATAAATTACAAACTAATACTAGTATTTTTATTGTCCCCGCTTTCAATGAAAGTGGGAGATATTAATTTGGGTCTGTCTGTCTGTCCGATTTTGATTTTGAGGTCCAAAGGTTAAGGTCATAAATCAACAGATTCTGTCTGTTTTAGCACTTTTGTTTTCGCGCGATATCTCGAGAATCCTTTGAGCTTTTGCAATGAAATTTTACATAACAACTTCCTGTGGCCTAAAGTAGACCTCCTATTGATTTTGAGGTCAAAAGGTCAAAGTTCAAGGTCGTAAACACGGACCTCCAAAATTTCACAGGTGGAATCAGGTGCCATGCAGGAGTAGGTATCCCTTGCCGACCGGCCACACCCACCATGTGCTCCTTGTCATGATTGGAAATAACGGGAAAATCTGCCGTCAATTGGCCTAGCAATTAGTATATAAAACGGCAAGCAGCATATGATTCAATTATAAATTGTATTTGCTGACAACTTTCATATTCAGACTAGATGCATATATGTTATTCAAACAAACAAGTCAAAGCATTTCTAAAACTTGCCTTAAATATTTTTAGTTGTTCTTAAGAATTAAACAATTTGTCAAGAAGGCTTTGAGTAAAATACTAAACACATTTACTCATATGTCACTGAGAAAAATTGCTTCATAATTTTTCCAAAACTATCAATAATAAATAATTTTAAACTCTTTCTTTTAACCAGTTTGTAAACTGAAATGTCATAAACTACGATATTGTAACAAAACATTTTAAGTTTTTATTAGTTGTATATCCTGACGTCTTGTGTCTTTAAGTTCTGTCAGTTAGTTATTAAGTTATTTGTTAAACGAAAATCCTTGAGCAAGTCGATCATTTGACTTGTGCTTTCTTTTCACTACAAATCATCTTTCTTAGGGTCAATGTGATGTGAATGCCAGAGATAAAGATGAAAGAACACCTTTAATGATCAGTGTAGCACAAGGTCATAAAAGAACAGCGGAGGTTCTAATAGCAGCTAGTGAGTAACGACTATAGTTATTGTCAAACTTTTACTGAAGAAATGAGATGTAGACTGAAATCCGGTATAGTATGTATTGAAATGATATCTATTGATATATAAACAAGATGTTTAAAACATTGATGTTTTTTACACAATTTAAAGTTACATACTCATAGGTTGTCAAAAGCGATTAACTCCTTTTCTGTACATACGTGAGATATATGTTACCTTAACAATACAAATCCATATGTTCTACATTATTTTTATGACAATGAAACTCTTGATTTGCATTGTCAATGATAGTCAATAAATACAAAAATTAAGTAACCGAAATAAGTTCAATGATTTAAAAGATGAAAAGGATCCCCGAGAATTTTTGATACCGAGGTATATGGTTTATCAATGATTGATTGATTGTATACTGTTTAACGTCCCTCTCCAGAATATTTCACTGATATGGAGACGTCACCATTGCCGGTGAAGGGCTGCAAATTTAGGCCTATGCTCGGCACTTACGGCCTTTGAGCAGGGAGGGATCTTTATGTAGGGGTATGGGATGATAAAGTAGATTACCGACTTTTGCCATTATGTAATATGGCTTCGTCTTGAGAATATTTTTGTATTGATTTTGAATATTTTGAATTTTGCAGGTTGTGATGTTAATGCACAGGACAGTTATGGTAACACAGCTTTACATATAGCTCAAATAAAGAACTATTTTCCAATGGTATGAAGTGTAGATAATTATTTAGATTGCGATTAAGATTAAGTATTATGAGGTAATTTTTTAAAAAATTTAAACCCTTCTTACTTTGACATTTTGATCATTGATTAAATCAAGTATTTGGTGTTTTAAAAGTTTGATCGTGGTATGCCTAAGAATTCTTAAATTATAATGTCTTCAAAGATCCACTGTAAGGATTCACAAATTGTCAACCAAATGTTTGTATAAACAGCAATTCAGTTCACATGGTATATTATTATGTAATTTTTATATAAAATAACCACTTAGTCTCTCTCTCTTATGATCAACGAACAGATGCGACTGTGTGTATTATTTAATCATTCAACAAATAACCAAGTCCTATACAGTAATGTTGTTCCTAATTAAGGAAACCCACATATGACTGTTTTGTCAATCGTTTTCACAATTGCGATACAAACATTCAACTCTTAATAAACAGTTTTTAGACTGAATTATCTGAGGACTTAGATTGTAAACATTCTAAAACTATGAAAAGGATACAAAGGAGTTGCCCGGTTTCAAAATATTGTAGTTTTTTTTAGTATGTTTACGAACTCGAAGCACAAATCTTGCTAAAAAAAACAAGATGAACTTTTTCAAAATCTGGTCCCTTGTGGGAACTCAAATCTTTGTAAACCGTAACCTAGAACACTACATAGGTATTGAAAGCTTTTCTTATAATCAACGAAGCAATAGTAAAGCCCTTTTTTAGTAGAAAAAAATTGCTTCTGCAGAGCCTAACTTTGGTTGAAACGAAATTTCATTTGAAGATACACGGAATATAAGCTTTCGATTCTATATTGAAACAAACAATTTACGTAGACAACTAATAATACATCTCTCTGTGATTATTTAGATCGTAAGAATCACTTTTGTTAATGCATAAACTGTTTAAATATTTTTGAATTCTGTAAAGTATATTCATTAAAGATCAAATCTATGTGACGCAATTTCTCCAATTTAAGATGGTCAATGACTTTCAGTAGGCCGTGTCTTTCTGGACAACGTTGATGAAACAATTGTATATTAGCTTATCCTAGAGAGTTTACACCTTATTTTCTTTATTCATATCTCACACGTATATATTCAAGATGCCCATGACGAAAGAACTTTCCTGTGTTTAAGTTTTCTTATTTATTTATTTTGTAGCTTTTGGAAACAAAACAAGAAGACGAAAAAAACGTTGGTATAGAAATCTTTTGTACTTTACTTGAAGCCAAGGCAGATATTCACATTAAAAACAAAGAGAAGAAATCCCCTCTGGATTTGGCTGATGAAAGTACTAAACAGTTTATGATTCAGTAAGCATATAAAAAAGTTTTAAAAAGCGATTACAGATCTAAAAGAAACCTGTAAATAATACAAATCTAGGAACGAGGCTTCAAACACATTTCTGTAACTTGTAGACTTGTATACAAGTAATCAAGCGCCTAGAAGCAATGAGCTTCCTTAACAACTGTCACACTCGCTGAGAGCCTTGGGTATAGATTAGGTAGATGAAATAACCCTTAGTCAAATTATATAATTTAATAGAAAAAAGAAAAGTAAAAGCCTAAAAATTGGCATAAAACGTGTCACTCAAACTACAACCCAAGGCTGTTTTTGCTTATCATAAGACCACAATAATGAATAAACAGCATCTATGAAATATAAGCTTTAAAAGGGAAGATTGAAATCCCTGTAATATCAACTTATATATCAGTAGTCTACATTTTTTGATAATGAATTATGAGGATAACGAATAGCATTCAATCTCAAAAGACTATTTAAACGTTACAAATCAGGAACAGAGCAAAAACGGACTTTAAAAAACATACTAGGTGGGATAGGGTAACATGGACGAATAACCATCCCTTTACAACTGCTAACACCTGCCATACTAGTATGCCCCTTGTCACGGTCGTAAACAGAAAAATCCCTTAAGATTTCTGTGTGTATTGAAACAACTTGGAAACATAAAAAAACATATGCAGGTTATAAGAGTTTAAGAAGTTTACGATAGAAGTTGAAGTTGTTTGTACATTTATATATGAAGATTTAGTTGTTAGGTTATCATTAATGTCTTTTTGTAATATATTCCCCAAATATGAAAAAATAAATGTGTCAGGCTCTGTGCTATGAAATTGTTCGTACTTGAAGCATGGTCTCGAGTGTTGAATAATTTGGTAGACATCAATATCATATACAGGTGATGAAATGAAATCAAAATTGATCAAATTAAACCAAAAAGAAGATTAATAAAACAAAAATACCACTTGAACGTAAAGAAAGGTGAATTCAGTACATATTTTAAAAGGAGTTCTCCACTGCTGAAGGAGAATATATTTTAAAAATTCTAAATTCTACATCGATCAAAAAGGACTGAAGATGTTTGTCCATAAATGCATTAAATAAGTTTGAAAAAATGTCTGACTGGTATTATTTTTTTTTACGTGATTATTTTTAAAATTTATCAGATTATCTAAAAATGTTAATACCGCCACACTTGCCACCACAAAGAGAGGCATTGGTATTCCTCTGAACTGGGAGCACATGGGATCAGAAAGTTTCAAAAGAGTTACTCTCTCCCCGGATGCTGGTGGTATGATGCAGAAGGAGTATGAAATGGTTGCACAGAAGTTCAAGAAAACATTAGGACAAGTTACGATATTGCAAATAGACAGAGTTCAAAATATGCTGTATTGGGCACACTATCAATTGTAAGTCACTAATATATACCATACATAATATTTTTCTAAGGACTTCTTGTTTAAATTCAGATTTATAGACTATAACTGTATAGAAAAGAACGAATTGCATAAAAAAAATTTCTTGTACCCACCTTTATTATTTTTTCTAAGCATGCGAAGACATCTCGAAGGTAAACATGGAGGTATTGGTTGTTCCAATGAGAGGGACCTTTTTCACGGCACTCTACCAAAGATAGTAAATGTCATCTGCAAAGACAACTTTGATTTTCGTCTGGGAGGTGATAGAGTTGGGGCTCTATTAGGGCAAGGCGTATATTTTGCCATGGACGCCAAGTACTCTGATTTGTATGCAACACCAGATGAACAAAGGTACAAGTACATGTTTCTAGCCAAAGTTCTGTGTGGAAAATGGTGCGTTGGGAATGGAACGTATAAAAGACCACCTTCTGTTGATCCTTCTAGAGAAGATTCAGAACTTTATGACTCATGTGTAGATAATCTGGATACTCCAAGAATCGTCTGTGTATTTGATAAGAATCAATATTATCCTCACTATGTGATCAAATACAAATAAGATTTTATTGAACACTTTTATCACAGCTTTACATACAACAAATAGTCTGAAAACCTGTATATCGTAACAATTTTCTCTCAGTGATTATCTGTATATAAGAATAAAATGAAAACTATACCCAAAAAAATATAAAATAAGAGAATGTGAATATTGATGATTTCGTGGTCATGTTCTGGCAACATTTCAAAATATGCGTACAAATTTTTATTATTTTCCAGTTTGGTTTTGAATTTTTATTATCATAAAAACGTGTGAATTTTTTAATCTTTGTAGTGCATACAGTAATCATTCAATGTTTTATTAATATAAATTTAAAATTTGAAGAATCACATTGAAAAGGTACAGTGTAATGACTATATGTTCCTGCAATTTGTACTTGTTTTCCTTGCTGTAGTGTAGTTTAATAAAACTTATTACAAAAGATTTCAGTTGTGTGGTGTTAGTATTAACAAAATTTAAAAAATCCCAAAATTCAATTTAGAATTTCAATTTCATTATTTTTTTTTACCAGAACGAATATTTATCAAGAATACCGCAGAGTATTTGGTATATATTTTTTAACCTAATTTCATTGCAAATGATGCAAATATTAAATTTAAGAATATGCATCAATTAAAATACTTTTTTGGTGTTTGAAATTCTACCCTTCTGAAAGCATCCTTATTATTCTATACAAATATTTTTCACTTTAAATTCCATTTTTGTGCAACTTCGAATAAAAAATTAAAAACTACCCGGTGAAACTTATTCATTTTATACGAAAGCCGGATAGGCTTATTTCTGAAAAGATAAAAAAATATTTAACTCGTTATAACGAGTTAATTATCTCGTTATAACGACTTAGTTATCTCGTTATAACGAGATAGTATCTCGTTATAACGAGTTAATTATCGCGTTATAACGAGTTAATTATCTCGTTATAACGACTTAGTTTTATCTCGTTATTACGAATTACTTATCTCTTTATAACGAGTTAGTATGACGACTTAGTTTTCTCGTTATAACAAGTTAATTAACTCGTTATAACGAATTAGATATCTCGTTATAACGAGTTAATTATCTCCTTATAACGAGTTAGTTATCTCGTTATAACGACTTAGTTATCTCGTTATAACGACTTAGTTATCTCGTTATAACGAGTTAGTTATCTCGTTATGACGACTTAGTTATCTCGTTATTTCGAGTTAGTTATCTCGTTATATCGACTTAGTTATCTCGTTATAACGACTTAGTTATCTTGTTATAACGAGTTAATTATCTTGTTATAACGAATTAATTATCTCGTTATAACGAATTAATTTACTAGTAATAAGGAGTTAATTAACTCGTTATAACGAGTTAATTAACTCGATATAACGAGTTAGTTATGAATCAAAAATGGCTGTAGTTTTAATGCCATTGATGTTTAGTTGATAATTATCATCAGAAATGTTTTGAACAAGGGGGACATGGAGACACCAGCAATGAGGCCATGGGCGTAAAATTCGGGGGCTACTGCCCACTCATAACACAACATCAAAGGCAGTCATAGTTTCCGTATACATGTACATGTATTTGTCTTCGGTCTTTAAAGTATACAATACAAATCAACTGCATCGTTTATACATAAACAGAATACAATCACAGGCACAACCCCTCAAAAAACAAAAAAAAAAAAACTTGTTTGCTGTTTTTCAATAAAAATCTTTATCATACACACTATGAACAAACTTAACAAACTCGGTTTTATATGCTATACTACTTTACTTCCCATCATTTAGATATATCAACTTTAGATCAGTTTTTAACTCGTTATAACGAGAAAATTAACTCGTTATAACGAGAAAAATTAACTCGTTATAACGAGATAACGAGATAATTAACTCGTTATAACGAGATAACTAAGTCGTTATAACGAGATAACTAACTCGTTATAACGAGATAACTAACTCGTTATAATGAGATAACTAAGTCGTTATAACGAGATAATCAACTCGTTATAACGAGATAATTAACTCGTTATAACGAGATAACTAAGTCGTTATAACGAGGTAACTAAGTCGTTATAACGAGATACTAACTCGTTATAACGAGGTAACTAAGTCGTTATAACGAGTTAAATTTTTTTTTTATCTTCTCAGAAATGAGCCTATCCGGCTTTCGTAATTTTATTCATTAAAAACATGACCTAAAATGTTATTTTCAAATGTTTTGACAAAAGTTTGCATCATCTGTCCTTAAATAAAAAACTAATTTCCAATGGTAGGAAGTAAAAATAATTTTTTTTACTGTGCTTCGGAATTGGTAATATTAAGACAAAATTTCCTCTTTTTTAATTATATCAATAATTTTGGATATTAGCATGAATAAGTACAGCTATTAATTATTGTAATCATTCTTAATAACATATCTTGATTTTTTGTGTATTGTTTAACATATAAATGATAATAATGACTTCAAAAATACTTCAAGTATCACTGAATGTTGTCTTCAGAAATTTATCTTTCTTTGGGAATTCGCAATATGTTTATTCTTCTCGACTAGTCTTCGACTTCGTTAGTGTGACTAAATTTTTTAAAAATGATACTTAAAATTTTCATATTTTACATGTAGACAAGCTATTGACATATGAGTTAAAGAAACAAGGATATCAACAATCTCGTGTAAACTCAATTTTTTGCATATTTTCTGACCGATACATGATCTTATCAGTAAATATAAGTTATATCCAAAGATTTTGTACAGATCAATTCAAAAACTGGCAATTCGCATCTCGGTTTTTGCTGAACACGTACATAATGGAAAAAAGGAACAACGTAATAAATATCATTTAATAAAGTAAATAAAGAAAAAAGATAATATAATTTATAAAGCTCAATACAAATAGTTAATTGAATGAGATATAAGGGAAATCTATCATAACTGTAAAAAAAAAAAACTAGAGGTTCTGTGAGCGATGAGCTCACTAAAATATAACCCCGCCTCCATATAGTTATAATGGCAAAGTCCATGTTTTGCTGTGGCCGGAAAACCCAAAATATGTGTCGGATCAAAAAGTAAAATAGGAGGTGCACAATGGCAATATTTAATAAAGATTCTGTGAAAGTTTCATCAAATTTCATTCAGTGGTATGAGAGGAGTTGCGGATAAGAGATGGGTACCCCAAAGCGTAACAGACGGACGGAAGGACGGACGGACGTACAGACAGACGGACGGACGGAATTAACGATTACTATATACCCTCCCGCTTTTCAAGCGGGGGGTATGAAAATTGTAGAGAGCATCAAAAACAGTAGATACGAGGGACGTTCAAAAATTACGCGGACTGTGCTATTATTTCCTCTTACAGACGTCATATAGTTAAAAAATTTCACAGAAATATGTATCTTAAAGATTCCAATAAATTTTGGGCAAAATTTAATTATTTTAAAAAAATATATACTAAAATTATCGGTATGTTGATATCGTTGATGGAGAGGTACGGCGCACGACAAAAAAATTGAAGCAAAAGCATGCGGATTCAAAAACTTAACTCATTGATTTTCTAAAATTCGAGATATTTTTCAACAATTTTCTCAAATGTACCTTTAAATTGTTCTATTATTATGTGTTTAGATTTCGGACGTAATATTTGAAGGACTAACAGAAATATAGTGATTTTTCTCTGTTGCAATTCCCGTGAAAACGACTGTGAAAATGACGTCTCCTGAATTGACGGCGCACCACACTTTTGTTAAAATATGTGTAATGCTCGAGATATCGGCAACATAGATCCAAAATATGCATAATAAAACATGTAGTAAACTAGGCTACTCGTGATATTCGCCCACAAATAGCAAATTGAAATTTTAGACAGTTAGACCTCTGTAAAAAGGCTATACGGGAGGATGGGAAGAAGATTATAGACTAAAAGTTAACTTTATCCGGACTGTAAAGAAAGTGATTGAGAGTCACCAATATCACACTATATCTCATAAGTAGTTTTTGGTTTTAAAACAAAAAAAATATTCTTTACTTGTTTAATAGATTTAAAGCTTGACAAGAAATGGTGTTTTGATGTTGAGTAGATAAGGTAACTCAAACTATACAGGTACTCAAGGGAAAAAGTTGAGAAAATGAAAGCTCAATCACATATTTTTATAATGCTTGTGACGTCGAAGATTTTGCTGCGCCGTGACTTAATGGTATGTCCTGAAAAATCACTCAAAATTAATACCAGTTTACAACATTTTGATTTGAAATTTTGAAGACCATATAAGTAAAGATTCTTTTATATTATTTGTGAAATATTTCTTCTGTGCAACAAGTCCGCGTAATTTTTGAACGGCCCTCGTATATGTATTTTTACAAGTATAAAAACTAAAACAGAATGGTTGGTGGTTTTTGCAAAAATTGAGGTATCTAAGGGATAAAAAAAAATTGCATAGAAGTTTTAAAATTAAACTTTGATTACGTCAATTAATGAGAATTGTTACCCAAATATTTTTCCATGTAAAACTCTAGGCAAAACCTGGAATTCGCATGTCGGTTTTGGCCGAATCACGTTCATTATGAAATGAGAGAAAGAACGTTATATGAGTGAAAATGTCATTAAATAAACTAGAGGTACTGTGAGCGATGAGCTCACTAAATGATACCCCCCGCCTCCCCTATGGTTATAAGTGGTGAAAAAGTCCATGTTTTCCTGTGGCCGGGAAACCCAAAATATGTGTCGGATCAAAAAGTAAAATAGGAGGTGCACAATGGCAATATGTAATAAAGATTCTGTGAAAGTTTCATCAAATTTCATTCAGTGGTATGAGAGGAGTTACGGATAAGAGATGGGTACCCCAAAGCGTAACAGACGGACGGACAGACAGACGGACAGACGTACAGACGGACGGACGGACGGACGGAATTAACGATTACTATATACCCTCCCGCTTTTCAAGCGGGGGGTATAATAAAGCGACAAAAAAGACAACTTATAAAACACAACAAAAATACGTCATTGGCTAGGATATAGGATCACGGGAACTCTGACTAGATTCATAGTGACTAGTCATATAAAAGAAATCCCAATTAATTAACCTTAAAAAAACATCTACATTTACTAACAAATCTTACTAAGGCCGGAATTAAAAATATCTTTGTTTCCCCTAACCCGACCATAAATTCTCAAGTTGGTTCGGTAGGTAAACAATTTTCTTTTCTGACAGCAGCTTTGAAAATACATTAAAAATTTAATGGAAAATTACCTTTATAAATAAGAAATTTAAAGTACAAAAGAAAGCGATTTGTAAACAACATGACAAGTATCATACATATGCCGTTAAAAAGCAAAATTCGTGATTAATTAATTCACAGCTGTTATTCAGTTGAACTTCTGAAATATCTCACGGCAGAGTACATTTATATAAATCGAATAAAAAACAGACAAGATTCTCAAATACGCAAAGACCGGACATCCGAGTATATTTTTTCAAACATTCCACCAACCTCTAGTGCTTATAGACAACCAGTGTACTTTTTTGGGGGGGGCAATGGGATTTGCAGTGGTTCTAGAGCATTTTCTATTGAGTTAAGAAGTAAGCGGCTAATTTTAAGTCGCAAGTTCAAATCCCAATAATGAACGTTGAATACGGTCCTTCAAAAGGGACCAAAACTTACGTCTATTGTCTCATCAGATGCTGGCTCAAAAAATCCCCCCCCCACTGCTAAATGGCAAAAAAGTGCTGAGTACGACTCAATTTGGACCAAACAAATCTCGAAGGGATTAAAAGCAAAGAAACAACCAATATTCAAGGGCCTAATTAATGAAAATACACTGGAGGTCTGAGGAAGCTGAATCATGATTTCAAAACTATTTGGAAAGGGTATGTAAACAATCTTTAATTGAACAGATCTACAAATGATAAAAATGCTACATACAATGTCATAGTCACGAAGTTTAACCCATAAATAAAGGCATGAAGAAAGGACATCTGAATTATATTTAACAGGATGAATATGCCGATGTATTTACAACAACTCTTATGGTTCTATGTTGGCATATAGTAAACATAATAATATAGATGAACTGGTTATTAGATCAATACTCAAATTAAATAAAATGCAAAATGAAATTGAATATAAGTTCACTAGGTGGGCCCCTCATCTGCTCATGAGGCGGACATTACCATGTATGACGTACCTTAAATTCAACAGACAGGTTTGTTTGTTCGTTCTTAAACGTCCCTTTAGAAAATTTATTCACTCACACACAGGAGACACCAAGACACCCCAGAAGCACTCTTAATTAATCATGGTAAAATTTTTTCTTGAATTGTTTCCAGAGTGAAGAATTCTAATTAGCTAAAGAAATAAGATAGAGTCGTCACCGTTGTTTTATGAAGAACTAATTCTCTGTAATCACATCTGGACGCCTTTTAGTTTCCAACAAATGCCTGAAAACCACAGTAGAACAATATCGGCCTTTCTGATAAAAAATGATTTTGATGAAATTGTATTTTATAAAACTTGGTTAACAATAAAACATTTTTTTTAAATCATCTTATTTAAAAAATATTTTCAGTCGGCGCTATTTAATTGGGTCGGTCGCGTTAGGGAAAACAAAAGTATTTTTTTATTTTGGCCTAATCATAAAGATAGAGCAAAAAATGGTGATGCACAAAAAAAAGAAAACAAACAAACAAAGCTTACAAGCCTGTTGATGACAGGTTGTGTGTTGCTGCGCCATCGTCAGGTTTATTGTAGGTTGATGTTTTTCAAACATTATTAGGCCATAATTTCCAAATTAAAAATTGTCTACGGGCCTACTGATTTTCCTGTTGCCCTTATTAGACATGGACAGTGGATGTGACAAGTCGACAGAGAATGCTTTCTCCTCCATGGCATCTCCTAGCACATTATTTTTGGAGAGCGTTGTTTTTCTGCTCTTTATTTGTTTTATTGGACTTTTGAGCTACATAATTGTTCATAATCTTCAAAATTATGTCTAATGTCAAGAAGCTGATACATATATAACAAGAGAATTGTTAGTATTTCTACTGATTTATTTCGTAGTTCACAAAAACAAAACAAGAGGATGAAGAGAAAGTTGGAACTGATATCTGATGTACCTTACTTCAAGCCAATGCAGATATTTATATTAAAAATAAAGATTAAAAACCCATTGAACTTGGCTGAAGATGAAAATATCCAACAGTTTATGAATATGTAAGAAGCTTGAATTTCGTTTAAAAGTAAGAGTAGACCTGTTTCTTATGCTGAGATTGAAAGAAAAAATGCTTTCAAAATTAGTGAACAAAAATGAATCCATGTAGAACATCTTACACAAATGTTTTGTTTTATACAAGAAAACATGTCTGAAGTATATTTTTTTCTACATTTTAATTTAATCTTAATTTATTTTCCTATAGGCCACAGCTTCTTTTTCCATAGCAGCTCCTTTTTAAGGTTTGTAGGCTGAGCTCGAAGCTTTGCTGTTGAGATACAAGGCCAATCCTCTGAGGATAAACTCTCCAACAACTTCTATAATTTTGAGTATCTTCTCAAATGTTCTCTGGTTTTCATCTTCGATTTCTTGTCTTATATGTTCTCGAGGAGTTGTTTGTGCGTTCTGCTCCTTATCCAGAGCCACTTGACACTCCCGATAATTAACTTTTGACAGGGATGGAGCACCATCCTCAGGGTCCCGAGGAATTATTTGTGCGTTCTGATCCTTCACCACTGCAGCTTGACATCCCCGATAATTTACTTTTGACTGGGATGAAACGCCCTTCTCTAGGTCTTGCATAGCTTTTTCAACCGCTTTGAAGTCAGCATTTGAATAGTACGACCCATTTTCACCAATGTTTCTCTTTACAAGATCCAACAAACACTGTACTTGTTCATTCTTTTTTTCCTCGGTTGCAAAATTGTCGAAAAATATATACCTATTATTACATTTTCTCAAAATCTCTTTCAGTGGATCTGGTACCTTACTAATGTATTCCTCCTCACTTAATTCATTTCTTTCAAGATCATCTTTCCCAGTAAAGAGAACAATAAAATACTTGAATATGTCTTTGCCAAAAAATGAAACAAACTTTTCTATTGATTCTCTCTCCTCTTGTGAAAATCGGTTTCTGACTGAAAGTACCATTAGAAAAGCGTGTGGTCCAGGCGAAGTGAGTAAGACGCATTTCGTGATCTCCATCAAAATCTCATCCTCTGGAGTTCGTGTATCAAATATTCCAGGAGTATCAATAACATGGATCATTTTACCGAAGCGACGAACGCAGCCGCGGGAACATCGTTTAGTAACTGATCTTCCACCAATATCAAACTCAAATGCTTTATTATTCAAAATGCAATTCCCCGACACATTTTTTCCACTACCAGTTTTACCAAGTAGCACAAGCCTCACTTCATCTTCGAATTCAAATTTTAAAATAAATAAGTGAATAAAATAAAAAATAAATTTACATGTATAAGAGGGAAAGTGAGTCAAGTTCCGTCTCTTTGGCATGTCAAGCGATGATTTCTGTTTGCATTGTTCAATTTTCAATTTGTATTGTACAAATCTCATTAGTATTATACATTTTTTCATTTGTTGCATAATTTTGAATTGCTTTCTGTAATTTCCAGTTTGTATTCTGTATTTTTTTTATTTGTATTGTAAAAACATTAGAATTATGACTTTTTGTTGATAATGTGTATAGTTTAATTTTTCATTTGTTATTTTTTTTCAAATTGTCTAATTTTCCATTTGTATTTTGTAATTTTCCAGCTGTACGAGGGTTGTTCGAAAAGTTCGTGGACAACTGTCATATCTTTTTTATTATACGTCATATGTTATCCAACTTTGGTAGTCATATTTCTAACATTAAATCCAAATGATATGTATTAATTTTGACGAAATATTACGATTGATTAAAAACTTATCCAGATTTTTAAAATGCAAAAATCAGATCGCAGAGCAGGTAAAATTTAAGTCAGTGACAGATTATCATTATACAATAAATAATGTCTATGGTCAAATTCGCTGTAAAATGGAGGAAAAACGAAAAACTACCTAGAAATTCAATTTAAGAATTGTTACATCGATACGTGTACCAAATTATGGTTTTATATTTTGCTTTGTTGAAAAGAAATCAACTTGCGAAGATAAGTAGTCCTTATTGAAAACGACAAAAACGATGACGTTTTAGAACGTCACGGAGCAGCAGATATCGAAGCAATTTTGCGTTTTTCTCAGAAAAAATTCTGAATAAACTTAAAAAATGTTAAAGGAATCAGGAAACTGTTCACAAGCGAGTTGTGCATGTGTGTACAAATAGTACAGGCAATATTTGAGTGACAGAGACTCTGTATCGGATGAGAATGACCTGTGAAGAAACGGTTTACTGTAATCATGAACAAAACTTTAAAATTTGAAACGTAAATGAAAGACAAAAGCGCTTCAGAGTTGCTTATCCTGTGATAGCAGAGTTAAGTACTAAAAGAAATTAAAACCTTAACAAAGGAAATTTTACAATGAGATCAATTCTTGAAAACTAAATGTCAAGTATTAGAAATAGAATTTAATGATTGGGCATTGGAATATTCTGTGTGAAATGTATAGGTATAGTATCTATAATATTTCTAATATTTCTCGACGCTATATGTTGACGTTACATTGCCGTTATGGGTGCTCCGCGGGTACAAAACATGTTAATTTTAAAATGAATTAAATTTATTTGTGTTAAATCGAATGAAATGAAACTTCACACATCAACAAAACAAATATTTTTACATATTATTATGTGCTTGTTTTAAATTTCCAGTGAGTATTATAACGAAGATTGACATCATCCACGAACTTTTCGAACAACCCTCGTATATTTTTTCAACCAAACATTTTTAAAAAAAATATTTATAATGCATAATTTTTCATTAATAGTATTTTTTTGCACTCTCTAATTTCCTATTTGTATTCTGTTATTTCCCGCATAAACCGAGGTCCCATTTCACATTAGTTGCTGGCACGAAAAAGATTCGGCCCTGAGTGCCTAGGTGGCAGAGGATAGTTTTTTTTGGAATCAAAACGTTTGACTGAGGGTTTACTTAATATTGAGCTGCTTTAAAAATGTGCATTGAAAAATTTTAAATTCCCTCTACATGTAATAATAGTATGAAGTAGTCCCTTGAGAAATTTGAAGCTTTTAGGAATAAAACATGTACAACTTACAGAATGAGCCCTAAAGATGGCGCAGGGACAATCTCAAAATTTCATGTGAATCAAGCCTATTTTCACTATTTCGCTGCAGCCGCATCTGCTTCCAGGCCCGTGCGCCTGACCTAAGCTACCACACAAATTGCAGAATAACATTTGTACATACCAATGAACAGCAAGAGATAATGGCTCAACCACCTCGTTTTCAAGCTACAATTCATCCTGTGAACCCACCCCGCTTTTCTGGTGAAATACCGGTAGAGCGAGTTTTGAGCTTAGTTTCGTATTTCTAGTCCATATCCCATATACAGTAGTAGTGACACTAAAGTGTCATATTTCAATAAAATATACAAGGCCACCAAGTCCCTCCAAATGCACCCATAAAATATTCTAGCAATAAAATTACCTATAATATGCATTCAAACCTCAGGTTTCTCTATTTTTTCTATTTTTTGACCGGTACTTTATTCGAAACTATCCTCTGCCACCTTTAACTTTCAAAGTTCGTCTTGCAAGTAATAAACCTTGCTCAATTCAAAAAGAACATGCAATTCTGAGTAAAAATATACCAAATATGTCTTGATTCATTGAAAAATAAAAAAGTTATGGCCAAATAAGAGACCTCACCAATTCTCGGTCAACCACCTTAACCCCATATTGTTTCTTACACATAAAACAAATGCAATTCTTACAACTCCCGATGATAAATATACCAGCAAAAAAGTGTTAAATGGTAATTTTAATCTATTTCAAATACATTTATATGTAAACAGTCAACTATAAAGGGCACATTTTGGTGAAATGTACTCACATGTATCACATACTCCCCTATTTTTCATGTTCTATGAAATTCCATTTTATCTTATTTTTACTTGGATTTACATACCTATAACTTCTTTGCAAAGTTAAAACCCCTTTCAACTTTCAAGATATTTATCATGATATGCAAAAAACCCTCTTGCATCATATGCTAAAGAAAAAGTGTCCAGGAAATGGCTGTTCAACACCCTACCCCTGCAGCCATTTCTTCAGTGTAATGAAAATGCACTGTAAGAATGTGTTTGTCCTAGCTGAATTCTTTCTAAGTGTCTGATATTCACTTTTAACAGTTATGAGTATTCAAATACATACATTTCATTCTCCTGAATACTAAAAGTGATTATTCTGTCCATCCTGGGCAATTGTGGGCAGATTATATGGGCCTAGCAGAATTCAATAATTACATGAAAATGCACATTTTATTGATATTACTTCATTAAATATGCAATATAAACTCTTTGTTTTGTTATTATTTAAAGAAAAATAGTCATTTTATAGCAAACCATTGAAAAATTTAGATTCTGTCACATTTAAATATAGATAAATTTAAAAATTGAAAGGGGGGGGGCATATTTCATGAAAATATCAATAACAGAATAGGTTAAATTTGGAAAAATAAAGCAAAAAAAAGTTTTTTTGTACTATATATGGTTAGGTTTAGTGACATTTAGGTATGCTGACTGATTTTTATTTTCAAAATAATTATATTTAGTAAATTAGGTTGAAAAAATGGCAAATATATGTAATTTCAGTGACATCGCACTAATTAATACACTTAAATTTTAATTAGATTTAATTAATTAAAGCAAGACATGATTTTAATTATGCGACAATACCCAAAGTATCAAATTCAAACAGTTAATTTATTCTCTGGCAAAAAATGCCTGAATCTTATATGATTTATTATGCTGATGGTTCAAAGTCTTTAAAAATGTATGCTGGAAAAGAGTAACCCCCCTTGCTTTTTAGTGAATATACCTATCTGTACAGATTTTAAATAACAGAAACAAAGTATTTTTTTAAATTGACTTACATAAATAAACCCTTTTGTATGAAAATCAGACTAAAATTCACATTTCTAAAAATTGATGCATTCTTGAAGGTGGCAGAGGATAGTTTTTTTTTTGCAATCAAAACGTTTGACTGAGGGTTTACTTAATATTGAGCTGCTTTAAAATGTGCATTGAAAAATTTTAAATTCCCTCTACATGTAATAATAGTATGAAGTAGTCCCTTGAGAAATTTGAAGCTTTTAGGAATAAAACATGTACAACTTACAGAATGAGCCCTAAAGATGGTGCAGGGACAATCTCAAAATTTCATGTGAATCAAGCCTATTTTCACTATTTCGCTGCAGCCGCATCTGCTTCCAGGCCCGTGCGCCTGACCTAAGCTACCACACAAATTGCAGAATAACATTTGGACATACCAATGAACAGCAAGAGATAATGGCTCAACCACCTCGTTTTCAAGCTACAATTCATCCTGTGAACCCACCCCGCTTTTCTGGTGAAATACCGGTAGAGCGAGTTTTGAGCTTAGTTTCGTATTTCTAGTCCATATCCCATATACAGTAGTAGTGACACTAAAGTGTCATATTTCAATAAAATATACAAGGCCACCAAGTCCCTCCAAATGCACCCATAAAATATTCTAGCAATAAAATTACCTATAATATGCATTCAAACCTCAGGTTTCTCTATTTTTTCTATTTTTTGACCGGTACTTTATTCGAAACTATCCTCTGCCACCCTAGCATAGATCAAAATTTGCAGCTCTCCACCGGCAAGCGGTGGCGTCTCTATGTGAGTGAAAATTCTTGAGAGGGATGTTAAGGTAATTAATTACAAAGCATTTGAATTGCAATCATCATCACCAAAGTTTATATAAATAAATCTCAAATATAAATTTTTAAAGTGCAATGAGAAATCCTTTCAATCATTTTCCAATTTAAAATTGATCGACAAATATATTTTCTGTGAAAAAAACCAATTGGTACTACTGAAGAAAACTGGGTGATTTTTTTATGTACAGGAGAAAGTCCGAAAACTGTCCATTCTGTGAGAGAAAGAAATGTTCGAGGCCCGAAGGGCCGAGAATAGTTTTTTCTCTCACAGAATGGACAGTTTGAGGACTTATCCTACTTAAAACATTTTCTCTTTTGTTAACTTAATAAACTGTCCCAGGTGATGGTAATGTATTTGCTTTGATTACGTCATACACTTGATTGTCCAGAGAGTGAGAGA